GATTTACCAATGAACAAAGAACAGTTTTTTCCTTATCAATTTTATGATTGAAAATCCATCGAGTAGTTTTGGAAAAATCAATCTTTAAAGACTGTTGTTCAGAAAAGTCAGACTATAGCTGGAGCTCGCCTCTGGATGCGGGATTTTCTTGCTGTGTTGAAGACCCATTGGTAACTTTGTGCTGTTTTCTGCTCTTTGGTCGTGTTGTCTCTTTGACAAATTACCCATTTCCATTCTCAATTTTATAGTGCTAACTTAACAAGTTGCAAATACCGCATGCATATTCAGGACGAGTGTATCAGTTTAAATTTAAATTGGAGTTCTAGTTTAAAGTTAAGAATGATTTTATTTTAAGTCAGGTGCCATCTTTGTTTTATAGTATAATATCTATGAACCACTCAGCAGTAACAAAACACATTAGTTTGTAGAGCATTGATGCTAATTTGGAAAACCATATTTGACATTCATGCAATAGAAGAATTAACAAAAAATACATTTCTTTGCAGAACACTGATGCTAATGTGGAAAACAACATTTGTACAATTGTTTTTGTCCCCAGTGGGAATTATAATGAACTGTAATTCTTATCAGATGAAATACACAGCAGTAATCAATACACAAGTTTTCTCCTAATTTATGCCTTTATTGACTTGTTGCATTTGCAATGTCTTTTTATTATATATTTATAAAATGAGATTTAACTTATCTATCAATGAAACAGCAATCAAACAGTATAATAAATCAAAACAAATGTTAAAAAAGATCAAAAAGAGGATCTTTATTTTCCTTTTTTTTTCTGATATTTTGTCTTTTGTTATTTTTATTATAGTTTGAAAATAACAAGCTTAAAGGAATATCAATGTGACAACTGTCTAAACAATTTCTAATGTATAAATATCAGTGTGACAACTGTCCAAACAATTTCTAATGTAAAAATATCAGTGTGACCACTGTTGAAACATTTTCTAATGTATAAATATCAGTGTGACAACTGTCCAAACAATTTCTAATGTAAAAATATCAGTGTGACCACTGTTGAAACATTTTCTAATGTATAAATATCAGTGTGACAACTGTCCAAACAATTTCTAATGTATAATTATCAGTGTGACAACAGTTCAAACAATTTCTAATGTATTAAAATATAGTGTGACAACAGTTACTGTCCAAACATTTTCTAATGTAAAAATATCAGTGTGACAACTGTCCATACAATTTCTAATATATAAATATTAGTGTGACAACTGTCCAAACATTTTTTTATGTATAAATATCAGTGTGACAACTGTCTAAACAATTTCTAATGTATAAATATCAGTGTGACAACTGTCCAAACAATTTCTAATGTATAATTATCAGTGTGACAACAGTTCAAACAATTTCTAATATATAAATATCAACCAGTGATGAAAACCCAATACTATATGAAATGATAAAACAACTGAAAACAAAATTGATGCATAACAGTAAATATCAGCATAATTAGGGTAACAGCAGTCCCAACAACTGTGTAAGTAAAAAAGTAAATGACCTAAAAGCCCAGAAAACAGAAATGTGAAGAAAAACGAAAAAAATAGAATCCAAAGATACTTGAAAAGAATTTGTATCAGAGTAAGTTTAGGATGTAAAACACTTTCCACTATATATTTGTTTGATCATCTAGGAAGTAATTGAAAAATGATCCACAAATAATCTGGATATTCCCTTTAAGAGGATTTAATGTGTTTTAGGAAGTGACCAGATAACCTAGCTAGCATTAACCAGGATGTGTACTTTTTCATAAACTCACCAATTAATACATTTTTATTAAATACAAAAAGTTTTTCACATATTCTAAGTAGGTTATATAAATGTTCACCTCATTGGCAGAATTGCTTAATCTGTTATTCATACAAGAGGATTGATCTTATTTGCCTTTGGAAGACAAAGTAATAAAAAGTTAACACCCATAATACCAAAGCAGTTCTTATATAAAGATCAATTCTGAGGTCACAAAATTGATACTGTCATTGAATAATTAATCATATCTACTTAATTTTCTTTTTTGATAAAATTATGCTACATAAAAAATGTATTTTAAAGAAAATGGCTTTGAAATAAAAACACTTTAGTAAAAAATAAAAAGGATATGAACAATTTTTAAAAAAGTAAGATATTGCTTTGATTTAATAAGTGTTACAGTCATTTTAAAGTATTTTATCCTGAAATTTTACAAGCATAGTGCAGTTTTAACTTGTGTTACATTTCAGTCCTGAAATAGAGTATAATTCATGAATCATGTTATTTGAAAATTGATATTGAAACTTTTAATGCCCCCGCCGTATGTAGGGGCATTAAGTTTACCCTTGTCCATGTGTACGTCCCTCCGTCTGTCCGTACGTCCCAAAGTTGGTTTCCGTTCTCTAACTTTAGTTCGCCTCAACCAAATGTTGTGAAACTTATACAAAATGCTTATTACCACAAAACACAGATCAAGTTTGAATTTTGATGGGGTCACTTTAACAGTTCTAGAGTTATGCCCCTTTACAAATGGAAAAATTGCTGAATTTTTATGCCCCCGCCGTGGCGGAGGGGGCATTAAGTTTTACCCTTGTCCGTCTGTACGTACATCCCAAAATTGGTTTCCGTTCTCTAACTTTAGTTTGCCTCAACCAAATGTTATGAAACTTATACACAATGCTTATTACCACAAATCACAGATCAAGTTTGAATTTTGGTGGCGTCACTTCTACCCTTCTAGAGTTATGCCCCTTTACAAATGGAAAAATTCCTGAAATATTTGTTTCTGTTCTCTAACTTAAGTTTGCCTCAACCAAATGTTATGAAACTTATGCACAATGCTCATTACCACAAAACTCAGATCAAGTACAAATTTGGGTAGCGTCACTTTTACTGAACTAGAGTTATATCCCTTTATAACGTTTTTTGCAAGCTGGGGCATCATCTGTGTCTCATGGACACATTTTCCATTTATTAGTCCTCTACGTATACGGATGAAGTGGAAGGGGACTTTAGGTTTGCACTTCGTCCGTCTGTCTGTCTGACTGTCAGTCCAGCAAATCAGTTTTCCAGACTTTTTTTCTTGGTGCTTAAAGATATTGATTTCATATTTGGTTTATTGATTTATCATGACAAGTTACAGGTCAAGTTCAATTTTCACGATTTTAGCTTTTCTCTTTGTTCAGTAAAAGCCCTTTCCCAATAATTATATTTTTGATGAAATACTTATTAATTAGTAGATTTCTGTTCAAAGGGAAATAACTCATTTTTTAAAAGACAAAATGACATTTTGGATTTTTTTCCTTTTCTTTGGTAAATTGTTTGAAGAATTTAGTGGTAGGTTTGTTTGTCATTCTTAAAGATATTGATTTAATAATTAGTATATAGTTTTATCATGACAAGTTACATATCAAGTTGGAACTTTGTGCCAATCTGATAATTTTGTGCAGAGTTATGGTCTTTGGACATAGAAAATTCACTTAAATAATCAGTTTTCAACAGTTTTTTTCGTCATGCTTGAAGATTTTGACTTTATATTTTTATGTAGTTTACACCATGACAAGTTATAGATCAAGTTAGAATTTTGTTCCATTACAATGAATTCGTAGCCGGTAGGGAACTATGTATTGCCATGTAATACTCACAGAATGCTTGTTTGTTTCTGTTCTCTCACTTTAGTTTGCCTCAACCAAATGCTATGAAACCTATACACAATGCTTAATACCACAAAATACAGATCGAGTTTGAATTTTGGTGGTGTCACTTTAATAACCATTCTAAAGTTATGCCCCTGTACAAATGGAAAAATTGCTGAATTTTTCGTTTCCGTTCTCTAACTTAAGTTTGCCTCAACCAAATGTTATGAAACTTACACACAATGCTTATTACCACAAAATACAGATCAAGTTTGAATTTTGGGGTGTCACTTTAATTGATCTAGAGTTATGCTCCTTTAAAAATGGAAAAATTGCTGAATTTTTTGTTTCCGTTCTCTAACTTAAGTTTGCCTCAACCAAATTTTATGAAACTTATACACAATACTTATTCTATTAAAACTCAGATCAAGTACAAATTTGGGTAGCGTCACTTTTACCATTCTTCAGTTATGTCCCTTATTAACTTTATATGATATGCAAGCGGGGGCATCATCTGTGTCCCATGGACACATTCCCCATTTAGTCTTAACTTGTTTTTCACAATGCATAGGTTTCAGTTATTTGAAATTATATGTGTATGTCATATGAAAATAACTCGGAAAAGATTTCATGGAAACAAGTTATGAACAGTTCTGTTAATAGGAGCTTGCTTCCTGTCAAAGGGAGCTTTTACTCTGCTACTCTTTGATATATTGTTCTTGTACAGTATATGGTTAAAACATAACCTACTGAACATTAATCAGCCACCTTTCTTGATGTTGTCCAGTCGGACCTGTCGACTTTCCTGATTAATGAGGTGTTGACCTTTTTTTCTGAAATTCTCCATATTATCATGATAATCGATGAAATACCCAAAACAGGCAATTCATAAGACTTATAATGGTTTTAAGCACATATATATTCATTTAAAACCACAGTTTATTAGACTGAAAACATTTATGAAATGCATTAGAGATACATAAGGTACTACTGTGCTTAAAATCCCCATGGAGAATTTGAGAAGTTTACAAGTATGTTCAGTTGCTAAGTCAACTTGAACTTCAGTCATAAACAAATATATGTACAAATGTATATGAATATTGTAAATTCAGAAATGTTTGCGTAAATTTATTATTGTAATTGTCAAGCAATGGATACAAATGTGAGATTTCAGGAAATGTTACTTCGTAATAATACAATGTATTCGTATATTAGAAATTTGAAATGTTTGGTTTTTTTTTTGCAAAACATATCCAGTCTCATTTATTGCAAAATTTGAATTTACAGTAATGAAGCAACACTCAGAGGATATATTTTAAAGTATGTGTGTCACTATAAACATCTATTGTTTATTTATTTTTGCAGTATGAAATAATGTTTTGCATCCAAGATGAAATGGATTCAGCAATTATGGTTGTTCAGAGTCTTGTACAGAAATATCCTGACGTAGACAGTAAAATATTTATAGGTTTGTATTACAACTTTCTAATCTTGCTAATATTAATTTGCCAGAACAGTAAATACCTATAAACTGACGATTAGAGAAGACTAATTAGATCTTATTAGGATATAGTATTGTTGTCAGTGTCCATTACAATTGTTCTGTAATATCTGGACATAAGAAATTGATTCTTGATGCAAGAAGAGCAACGTGAAAATTGACAGAGGAGAAAACCACCAGCATGCAACTGTGACAACTCCTTTACAATTGTTCATCTGGGGAGGGGAGGGGTATTCCACATTTTCCTAACCTGCTTCATCTTATCTATAGAAATATTTATTTCTCAACATATATCTACTTTGGGTTGGCCTAGGACTCATTGAAATTCAAGAAGCAGCTGAAGCCTATTGCAGCTTATTGAATTATTGAAAATTGTATTTACTAACTTGCACGTTAGGGAATTGTGTTGTATTGAACAATTAGGAAACAACATTTTTTGTGGTCTTCAACATTTGTTCAGAGACAGAAATGTCATAATTTTGATATGTCTAAGTCTGCAAATTTTATAAATTACTGAAATAGCCATGATTATATGATAGAAGTAGATCATTTGAATGTGACTTCAGATGATGGAAGTGAAGAGATGTTTTATACAAAAGAAAAAGTCTAGCCGGATATTGATCTAGCTGACTGTCAATGTAATATATTATATTATTGAGCAGGGATGTAATTAACTAATGTTCAGGCAGACAGATGGATCCTGTTTTGAAAATCTATATAAAAAACCTATATAATTATTGATGAGATTGAAATGTTATTAATTAGAATGAGAAGATAAGTATTTTGGGATTAATCAGGTTGAAGGTACATCTAAGTAACAAATTATTGGATCAAATCGACAGATAGTTGTTATTATAACTGTTTCATCAGAGATCAATCTCGACATGTTTATAAGAGAGCTAAATGTAGTTTGCCCTTTTCTCAAACATGTGAAAAACTTAAAATCATTTTGAATTGAAAAGAAGCTTGATTTTATGTGTGAAACCAATTTGCTACTTTAGACTGCTAAATTTTTATTTATCTTTAATGCTGTTTGGCTTTCAGTTTTTTAGCCAGCATGCTCTATGTTATCACTCTGAATTAAAGACACATAATAAAGCCATAGATATATAAATTACTTGCGGAAAGAATTAAACATCTACCACAAACTAATCACATGTCATTTAATTTTAAATGAAAAAAAGTTTTTGAACAAGGACTGAATTTTTAGATAGTAAACTTTACACAGGTACAAAGTAAACAAAAATTTATAAAACATTACTCGATGATTTGAAGTAAAGAGGTGATACATTGCTTTTAAATATATAATAAGAAATTATGATTTATACTTTTATCAGTGTCTTAGGCTTGGGGAAACAAAGATTCAGTACGCCATACATTCAAAATATTAAGCTTCAGTATTCATAATTATCTGACTTGTAAATAAAAAGTCCAATCTTGCTAATCCGAGCATATCTAAAAACTCAAATGATTGGTTCTACGGAATATTTGTTCAAACGAAGCCTTATCCTTTTTCATCTTATATTTTCAGGAGGAAAACATGTTGGAGCCAATCCAAAAGTAAACAATATGGCTATTGGGTATGAGGCTGCTAAATATGATATGATATTGGTTAGTGATAGTGGAATTAAAAGTAAGTATTGATTGTAAATAATTGAACTGTCCATTATCATCTTAATCACAGGTTCGGGACTTCGTGTCATGTTTCTGTCTATTATCATCTTAACTATAGGTTCCATACTATAGTCATGTTTCTGTCTATTTTCATCTTAACCACAAGCTTCAGACTGTATTGACATGTTTCTGTCTATTATCATCTTAACTATAGGCTCCATACTATAGTCATGTTTCTGTCTATTTTCATCTTAACCATAGGCTCCAGACCAGTGTGTCATGTTTCTGTCTATTATCCTCTTAACCATAGCTAAAAAATGCCTTTAATAACTTTTGGCAAAGGCTTTTTTTAGGTCAAGTCCAATGTAATTAGTGCCATCTGGCAATCAATTGTTTCCAATATATTTGCTGCAAGACATCAGGATAACAAATCCAAGAGGCATATCAATTCACTGGATTTTGGCACACTTTTTACTTAAATGTAACATACAAGGATTCTTTTTGGAAAAATAATGTCTAGGGGACTCCAAAATATTTGTATATATATTCATCACTTTACCAAAATCAGTGGGGTCAATGAAATTTACACACAGAAGCTGCTAAGGTAAAACGAAAGCAGTTATTTTGACATCTGAAAGGACTTTAGTGCATTTCAGAGATACATAAAACTTTAAATTTAACCTTTTCACTCCAATTTGCAATGAAAAAGGTATTTGAATGCTGGAAGTGACACTTAGCACATGTTTTATTTAACCACATATATTTCAGTCATGGAACTTGTTGTTTCCCTAAAGCACAATGTTTACCTCATTCTTTTAAACTTAAGATATTTCTTTTAAACTTAAGATATTTAGAATTAAAAATGGTAAAAGTAAAAGTTTTAACAAAATGTGTAAATGTACTATTTCATTCTTTTCTGCAGTGAAAGAAGAGTCACTTTTGGATATGGTACTTCATATGAAGGAAAATGTTGGTCTTGTTCATCAAATGCCTTATGCATGCACAAGGAAAGGATTTTCTTCTCATATGGAAAAGGTATTTTGCTTGAATTGAAATTCATTTAGATATGTATAGAAAACAATACATGGCAAAATTTGTAATACAAGATAAGATATCAATCTTGGAAATCAGTATCAGCCAGAAGAAGATCTAAAGCCTAACAGATCTATGATATAAGCATGCAATCAAAATTTTGCTATGTATTGTTCCCTTTATGATTTTTTGAAACAACAGGTATATAAATGATAATTTATTTTTGTGGGACAAATCAAGGAATTTATCTGTTCACCTGAGATTTTATTAATATCTGCTCTGTCATCAAATAATCCTGGATTTCAGTATATGAGCCATTTTCATCTATATTCTACATGTTACTGTTCTTGTAAAAAGTTTCTTTTGAAACAGTCAAATTTGCCATTCTTCACAACCAGGAAGTTCAATAAATTGGCTGTTGAACATTAGTCAAAACAATAAGGCACTCCAATGATGGAATACTGAGATAGTATTTAATTGTTGGCTTGAGTAACAATTCCACTTGAAATACAAGGAGCCAAAATTGAAATTTAAGAATTTAAATATTCAAAGGATGTAAATTGATACCATAACTAGTTCGGAACGATAGTATCCTGTCAAATAGCTCTTGAAAATCAGGTAGTACTAGTCCTCCTCAGTAATAATGCTTGGGAAATTTTGATTTTAATAAATTGAAATTAATGAATTACTTACAAGTTAAAACATGACACTTTGTTTGTTTATAATTTTGGTGTGGTTGATAAAGATTTTTTTTTGTATATCCTTAAACAATATTAAATATTGGTATGAATTTTCATTGTTATAATCTCTTCATTTCAGATTTACTTTGCAACACAACATGCTAAAATGTATTTAACAGCTAATTTCTTCAACATAAATTGTGCTACTGGAATGTCCTCCCTGATGAGGAAAAACATCATTGATGAAGCAGGGGGTCTCAAACACTTTTCACAGTATTTAGCAGAAGACTTCTTCTTAGCAGAAATGTTTATAAACAAGTAAGTACTATAAGCATGATAAGAAAATACATAGAAGTAAAGTAAGTATGAGTCAGTTAAAGGTGGTGTAGTATTTTGTAAATCTGTAGGTGTGCACTGTTTCATTTTTGTTTGCCTTTAGTGGATAGTTTTCTCATTGACAATGAAGTTACATATCTATATCTTTTTTGGGGGGCATGCTATTAAAAGTAAATATGACCAAACAAATGGAGTCTGTTATCTATACATTTAGGAAATATACTGTGGTATTGTTTATATATAGTATAAAAGGCCAAACAGGTATATGTAATGGATTGCTACAAGACTGTATGAATAACAAAATTATAAATTACCATAGCTGACAAATGGAATGGCCGAGACTCCATAGAATGAACTAGTTACAGGTCAACTGGAGCGTGGAGTTTATGGACATAAACATTCAAACAACACATGTTCCATGCATTGAACAGACATTTTGTATAATTGTATCTTTATTTAAGGAAAAATATTATGAATAAATTAAATCATTTATTAATGCTAAAAAAAAAGGTGTGAGTTTAATGAAGAATTACTTTTTTGTACAACTGACCCATGTCATTATATAATGCTCTTTGTTTTGTCATTACAGGGGTTATAGATTAAGAGTTAGTTCATATACAGCTCTACAGAATGCAGGAGCTTACTCTATTCCACTGTTACACAAAAGATTGACAAGGTAAATAACCTTGTTTTATATACCATGGATTCATTATAATTTGTGGGATACCAATTTTTATGGAAATAGGTAAACCACGAATTTAAATGTTCAACAAAGTATGAATTTTCTATAGGATTGTATGCAAACTTGACTAAACCATGAAATCAAATATCCATGAAAATACAAGTATTCCTTAGATCCACAAAAATTGGTACCCTCAAAAATAAATGAATCTTCAGTATCAGGTTCAGTTAGTACTTTTGCAGGGTAATTGCTTTATATAATCAAATTTTTTTTAAGAATGTTATTATTGAAGTTAGTTGTAGTACATACATACATTTTTGTCCAGCCTGCGACTTTTGTCGCAAAAGCAAGACACAGCAATCCTACATTCCGTCTGTGGTTAAAGTTTTTCAAATTTTAATGACTTTCTTAAACTATCCTGTATTTCAACCAAACTTGGACAGAAGCTTGTTTATAATCTTAAGATAGTATCCAGAAGTAAATTTTGTAAAAAATAATCCTGTTTATCCGTATTTTACTCATATATGGACTTAGTTTTTTCTGCCAGTTAACATAACATTCACTCTGTGGTTAAAAGTTTTTTTATAAATTTTAATAACTTTCTTAAACTATCCTGGATTTGTACCAAACTTGGACAGAAGCTTGTTTCTGATCATAAGATAGTATCCAGAAGTAAATTTTGTAAAAAAAAAATCCTGTTTATACATATTTTACTCATATATGGACTAAGTTTTTCTGCCAGTTAACATAACATTCACTCTGTGGTTAAAGTTTTTCAAATTTTAATAACTTTCTTAAACTATCCTGGATTTGTACCACACTTGGACAGAAGCTTTTTTGTGATCATAAGATAGTATTCAAAAGTAAATTTTGTTAAAAAAAAATCCTGTTTATCCGTATTTTACTTATAGATGGACTTAGTTACTGAGTTTTACTGTACGTACTGTTGTGCGTTTGTTTTTTTCTACATTGGCTAGAGGTATAGTGGGAGGGTTGAGATCTCAAAAAACATGTTTAACCCCTCCGCATTTTTGCGCCTGTCCCAAGTCAGGAGCCTCTGGCCTTTGTTAGTCTTGTATCATTTTTAATTTTAGTTTCCTGTGTATAATTTGGAGTTTAGTATGACGTTCATTATCACTGAACTAGTATACATATTTGTTTAGGGGCCAGCTGAAGGACGCCTTCGGGTGCGGGAGTTTCTCGCTGCATTGAAGACCCATTGGTGGCCTTTGGCTGTTGTCTGCTCTATAGTCGGGTTGTTGTCTCTTTGACCCATTCCCCATTTCTATTCTCAATATTAGTTTTTCTGCCAGTTAACATTACATTCACTCTGTGGTTAAAGCTTCCAAAATTTTAATAACTTTCTTAAACTATCCTGGATTTGTACCAAACTTGGACAGAAGCTTGTTTATGATCAAAAGCTAGTATCTAGAAGGAAGTTTTGGAAAAATTTATTTCCTGTTTTTCCGTATATTACTTATAAATGGACTTAGTTTTATTCCAGTTAACATTACGTACAGTCTGCTGTTAAAGTTTTTAAAATATTTATTAGATTCGTAAACCTTGGATTTTTACCAAACATGAACAGAACTTCTTACAATCAAAAGATAGTATCTAGAGGAAAATTTTTAATAATTTTTTCCCCATTTTTGTTGAGCCTGCGACTAACAGTAAAAGTAGGCAAGACACTGGGTTCCGTGGAACCCTTACAAATTTTTAAGATTTAATACCTAACTAGTATAAATAAAAGACAGTAACTCAATGACACACATAAAAACATCTAGGGGTCAACATACAGTACAACAATAAACAAATGTCCTTCTCAGTATCAAGTGAAATGACATCATAGCAAAAGGTGCAATGTCATCTCAGCATACAATATAAAGTATAAGAATGTTATAATGGAGAATTGTTGTAAATGTCTGATTCTATATTAGCTGAGTGGGATATTTGTAAGACCAAGCATTGTACTTATTTTCTTCACTTACACTTATTGTATTTAATTTACAGATGGTGCAAATTGAGAACAGCCATGACACCTGCCACAATATTTTTTGAGCCAATATCACAGTGTATTGTACAAGGCTGTTTGAATGCCTGGGCCATGTCCTACCTGTTTAACTTTACTGGTTCAGTTGTATTCTTAGTCCATGTACTCGTCTGGTTCTTACTAGACTATATACTCATTAGAGTCATAGAGGTAAGACTGTTTTCTTATTATATAAATATGAATTTTAATTGGTTTAATAATTTTTGCCAAGCACAGATGATGCTCCCAGACTTATTTTCATAAAACAATCTGACAATGCTATGGCAAAAAACGAAACGGTACACAAAACACAACATAGAAAACTAAAGACTGAGCAACACAAACCCCATCAAAAACCAGTGATGATCTCAGGTGCTCCAGGAAGGTAATCAGAAATGATCCACTGGGTTATTACTTTAAATATTATGTAAAGGTACTCTTTAAAATTAATATGATGCTTTAAAATTCAAAGGAATAGAAGTGGATAGTGCATATTTAGTAACACAGGAAATGCACAACCTCCTTGAAGACAGTAATTTTTCTTACATATTCATGGGAGATTTTTAAGCATTTACTGCATAATAACATAAATATCACAGAGAAAATCTTGACATTTTAAAATGAAAATAGGTTTTAAAATTTAAAAAAAATCAGAGATGGAACATTTGTAAATATGCGTGTTGGGAAGAAAGGTGGCTAGTAATCAGGACTTCCAATAAGATAAATTTTTAACCTAGAACATGTTTCAGGCTATTTTTGTAAGATTGGTGTTTAAAGATTAAAAATTTTCAAAAATTCAAAAATTTCTACCAAATTTGAAACCCTTGATGTCAATAAAACATTGTGTCAAAATTTCTGGCCAATTTATTCACTAGTTTAAAGATATAACCATTTAGGTTTTCAACATTAAAGAAATACATAGAAGTTGTAATTTTGTAATGTTGTTCAGTAATGTTAAACAGGTTTCTGTTGCAAGGTGATGTTTATGATAGTCATCCAAAGATTTGTGTGTTATCTGTAGATACGAGTATAATATTTAAATGGAACTTTCTTCATATTTATATGAACATGTTATCATAAAATATTCATGTAATAGTTTCCATTGGACATTAAACAGCCATTCATCATCAGAATTTTTTTCCCCATTATAAATAATTGGGAAATTTGTGATATTTTTATGCCCCACCTACGATAGTAGATGGGCATTATGTTTTTCGGTCTGTGCATCCATTCATTTGTTCGTCTGTCTGTCCCACTTCAGGTTAAAGTTTTTGGTCAAGGTAGTTTTTGATGAAGTTGAAGTGCAATCAACTTGAAACTTAGTACACATGTTCCCTATGATATGATCTTTCTAATTTTAATGCCAAATTAAAGTTTTGACCCCAATTTCACGGTCCACTGAACATAGAAAATGGTAGTGCGAGTGGGGCATCCGTGTACTATGGAAACATTCTTGTTCTTTCTGTGGTTGGCTGATATCCCTTGTTTTCCATCTTAAGACTGAAATTATTTAATGTTTTATTCCATTGGATCTTTATAAATGTACAGATATTTGTATGCAATCTTTTTCTATTACTAAACTTCATTATGTTTTGTGTATTTCAGGGAGGACCATTACCCTTTTCTAAGTTTGAGTTTCTTGTTGGCTGGATTATCAATGAAGTCACATATCCAGGTGTTATATTACGGTCACATTTTGATCCTAAAATTGTGTGGAGGAACCATCAATTTAAATTGAAATGGGGAGGAATAGTGGAAGAACTTCATAGTAAACAGACTGTATGAGTGTGTGTGTGTGTGTGTGTGTGTGTAAATCTGTAGAATGCAAGGGAGTTGTAGATGTGTAAATCTGTAGAATGTTAGGGAATTTTAGATGTGTAAATCTGTAGAATGTTCGGGAGTGATGTGTAAATCCATAGAATGTTTGGGAATTGTAGATGTGTAAATCTGTAGAAAGTAAGGGAGCTGTAGATGTGTAAAACTGTAACATGTAAAGGAGTTGTGTGTTTTTTATTAGTTTATTATTCTTTTTAAACTTTGATTTTATGGTAAAATGTTGATTCCTTTTATCTCATTAAAAAATTGCAACTAATTGTATTATCATATGTATCATTGTATTATCCTCTTTATCCTGAAGTCGATGTAAGGATACTAATTGTATACGTTCATATAAGTATCTGGGAGGACTTAATCAACTGAACAGAACTACAAGTTGATCAAGATGTGAACTCAATTTGGATTTTTATACTAATGTAAAGTGGTTTATATCTTTATTTGTATTTTATACCATTTTATCTTGCCTTTAAATACTCAAATAATATTTAATATGATATTTATCTTGATATAGAATTGTATCCCTGCAACTGGTTTGCTCTTTATAATTGACCATGACCTTCATTATTGATATAAATAAAAAAAAAAAATCAGCAAAGAGATTAACTATCCTTTATCTTGGTTCAATTTAGTGATTTGTTTTATAAATCTGGATTTATATAAATCAGTAAAGGATAAATGACAAAATTAATTTTAACCCTCTCAGGATTGTCAAAAAGTTTCAGTTTCTCAGCTCTGTTATTTAATTTAACAATGTATACACAAGAAATTATATGATGCCAAAATTTTTTGTATTATAACGAATTGTTCTTTTATTGTTCAAGGTGCTAATGTTTAATTTTACATTGATAAAATTAGTGCAAACTGTGTGCAATATCACATACAAATGTTTTACAGATCGGCTTTTTTTCTTTATTTCCATCAGCATAATTTTAGTCAGTTGCCAGTATTTAATTTTTTATATTAAATATTCATAATTGTACATGTAAAAAATAGATGTAAAATGTATGTTAATATTAAATGAAATCATGTTTTGTCTTTACACTGAGAAATCAAAATATGTTCAACAATTTAAGATTAATCTAAAAAAGAAACATTTTAACTTCAAAGTGTGAAAGTGTTTAATTTATCTAGGTGGGATCTAATTCTGACTAAAATGTCAGTAAACATGTGGACACTATTTGTACATTAGTACACATGTAGATATTTTCACTGTATATTTACTTATGTATTTGTACACATTTGGATATTTTAATTGGTTTTATGTAACAATCTCATTCCTATCTTGGAAAGAGATTATTTAAATTTTACATTCACATTGGTGTGGGGCGGGGTCATATTACTACTACTACCTTTGACAAACATTTTGATTATTTGCTCTTTACTGTGTATGAAGAACATAGTAAAAGAATAATCATGGTTTTTTTTCTTAAAAAATTAAAATGATATCAATACTTCTGTGTACAGGCCAAGAATTTATACAGTAAAAATGTTTTCTGCTTTGCAACACATAAATGCAATTTATTATTTTCATTTAAATGATTTATAATAATTAATAAAAATCTAGTCATATTTTATTTTACAAATTTGAAGTATAAAAATTATACTCCATGATATTTATTACCTTCTAGTCTGGCAACACATAAATGCAATGTCTTCTTTTCATTTAAATGATTATTAGTATCTAGATCAATAATCTAATCACATTTTTTTTAAACCATACTTGATGATATTTATTACAGTCTAGTCTGTTAACAGTTCTTGCCTTTGTTAGTGCTGATGTGTTCATGGTGAAGGAGATTATAAATAACTGGTGCTTTAGGGTGCTAACTGTTTTAATGTTAGTCAGTATGTATTACATTGTTTTAGGCATTTATATTCAGCTCATTGGATGTTCACTTTTTAATTATTTCACTTTTTATCAACATATTTTAGCATTCCAATAATATTATTTTATAAAATGAATCTGTTTTACAGGTTGAGGTATTAATTTATAAGGTTGCATACTCATTGTATAAAACAAAGGTATTTAGTCATATTAATAACATGATTTAACTTTCAAAAGTTTGAATCTTTATTAAATTTTATGTTATTTTTTTCAATTTGTGTATTGTCTATATCAAAGTCATTTTAGTCTATGTCGAATTGACTGGTTTTACCAAGTGATGAATGATTTTTTTCATTTAGCACATGTAAATTACATATTTATTCCATTTCTGTTTAATATTCCTTATTTTTTTTTACATTGTTAAAGTGTTACAAATGTATGTAGTTCATTATTTCTTGTATTAAGTAATTGAGATAATTTTTTTGGAAAGAAGCATTTTACCATCCAACTGGTAAATGTGAATGACCTGTGTCAATCAATTTTAATTGTTTTATAACATTCTGATGTATGATAAGTTTTGTCATAAAGGAAGAGAGATTTTGGATGATTCAAGACTTTAAACATTAAAAATGCTGACATAGCGAGTTTTCCAGAGAAAAAACTCATTTGCATGTTAATACCTGTATGACTGGCCAAAAAAGTTTCCTGGCAGTAATTTTTTCCTTAAAAACTTTTCCATAGATTCTCAAAATGATCAGACTAATTCAGCTGATCAGATCTTGTTTGGCCATGATGGGTATTGATATGACAACTGTAATTTTTGTTTCACTGTGATAGTGGAAATTGTCATTTACATTTTTGTATTATTTCTAAGTGATGGTGATGAGTTACACGTTGTTTCACTTAAACCAATGGGAGAGCATCTAGGATTTATGTTGTCTTTAATGAAAATGTTTATTAAAGAAAGGAGATGGATCACAAAGGGTCAATATTAGCCTTAAAATTTTTGTATATTTTATCTACGATACGTAATTATCAAAAGCATTTGATGAAAAATATGAAGAAAAATGCCTGATAAATTCAAAATCAACAAGATTTGGCATGTTTCATCACTGATGATGACACTGTGATGTCATAGTTACACACTTTGACCAATTGTTTAATTTTGATTTTTACCTGAAATAACATTGGCCACTAGCATGGACCAAATACGTGTATCTCGCACATATACATGTATTTATAATAAATGTATTTTAACCGAAGGGTTTTTGCAAGGTTTTTGAGAAGGAAATCGACCTTGAAATTTGTCAAACTACTTTCAAAATTTAAGAACAGCATAGGTTTATAATTCTGAATGACTGACCTTTATGTTTAATCCCGAAGTTGCCCGTGTGATAACTATTTGTTTTCCTATCATTAAGGTATCAAACTTATAATTCTGTTATGGTCATAAACCAGCCTATTTGTATTGTTCGTTAGAACTTTTTCACATTTTATCATGTTAGGACATATTAAAGCAGACTATACGGTCATTTGGACTATGTTGAATATTTGTCTCATTGGCAATCATACTAGATCTAATTTTATATATAATGAAATATTTTTACCAATTAAAAGAATATCTTGGCATTATAATAGTCCACTAACAATGTATTGGGTACTCCTTTAAAAGTTTGCCAAAATTTTAGAGACTGAGATTACAGTTTATCACTTTTACTTGGTGTCCTGGCGTATTTTAGTGTTGACATGGTTTATTACAGTGTGGATGCCTTAATTTGTTGGACAAGTTTGAAACATTTTAACTCCGATATCCACAATCAATGTGGATGTTAGATGATCTGTCACTGTCTGCATACTAAAAGTACCATCATATTTTTTTGGAAAAATTTGTGAATATATAATGTTTATATCTCTCCAGGATATTGATATTATCAACTTATATATTTAATTGCTGAAAATTTATCTGTATCAGATATTTAGTCTGATAGAAAATCTCCACAAATATTAAATTTTTGACTTGATGGAATCTCTTGAAATAGAAACATCTGTTGAAAGATCATGATAGAATTAGATTATTATATCTGTTGTAATATCTTTTAATATACATTGTACCATCTTTTTATACTATTTTTCTTGAATTTCCATGTCAATTTGTTGTCACAAAAGTACTTGATGTAAAGATGTTTTAATAGTATTAACATCATATAGTATAGTATCAATGTTTAATTACTATAAGTTAATGTTTGAATTTAAGTACTGGATTATCAATGGTTGTATACTAACATTGTATTTCTTGTTCACAAGAATAAACATGAAAGAACAAATTATTCTTTTCTATTTAATTATAAATCTTAGGATGTTGTCATAACAGGAGAGGTTCAGGATCTTAAAATGGTTAACCCAGCCACACGTTCATGTGTCCGTCTCAAGTCAGGAACATCGTTAGTCTTGTTTCTTATCTTAATGTTTTTTGTTATTTTGGTATTGACAGCTGATAATCTTTTTTTTAATTCAAACACAACTTTTAAGACTAGGAGTTATTTAAAGCTTGGCATATTGAATAGGCACCTGTCTATTATTGAAAACTGTATGTTGATCTCTAGATGTCTTTTGGTAATTTGTAACTTTGGGTTGCTGTCTCATTGACATATACCTCACATCTCCTTTTTGTCTCGCCAACTACGAAAGTTGCACTTTTTGATACATAGGAATTAAAACTAGGTGACAGCGGCTTAAACTATTTGTATTGAGCTTTATATTTCATAGGGTAGAAGACCTGGAGGCTCAGATGCTTTATGTTACAAAGTTTTGGTCTGTCATATGTCTGTTGTCCATGACCTCATATTCATGTTTCAGTAGCTGCTTGAAAAAAATTTCTGTCAGACAGGGTTCACCTGACCTCTACCTCATTTTTTTTTATCAGTGATCAAAGTTAAAGTTACATGCTTTGGTCAGTTTCTCAGATACTGTTAGTAGGTCAACTTCATTTGGTGTATGGAATGATTATAAGGTGTACATGTCTATGTTTATCTGACCTTGACCTCATTTTCATGGATAATTGATAATGTTAAGTTTAAGTGGTAGTTGAACTAAATCTTTTTCTTTAGGACTATCAACATAAAATCAATCATGGTCAGAAAAGCAGGTGAGACAGTTCAGTGTGTGCACTCTTGTATTCATAAGTACACAATAAAATGGTCTTGAAGACACTATCAAGTTGAGCTATGACATTAGAAACTCAAGAGATCACCAAATCATAAAAAACAAGATCATATTTTTTCAGTCAATAAAACAGATAATTGTATGTTTACCACCAGCATAGATTGCCTTAGTCATATTTGGGACAGCTTTTCCCAATTTTTGGTTTTAATGCTCTTAGACTTGGTATTAGATTTGCCCATCTAACTGTTTTGATTTCAGCAGCAGTGACAAGTCTTTAGGAGACCAAACATTGTCTGGCATACAAATTATAAGCCTGGCATCTTTGGTGAGTTATCACCTTCAGCTACTTTCACAAAAAGAAAGATGTAACCTTTTAAAAGTTTTATTTTCATTTAAAAAAAAAAACATAACAAAACAAAAAAGTTGACCAGTTGGTAAAATCAACATACCGGGGTAGTCCCAAATTGAAAATTGCCTTCATTTAAAAGATAATTGCAAGAATTCAAAAGGAATAGCTTTGTATTAAAGTGATACTAAAAAAAATGTATAAAAAAGAAAACTTACATCACACGGTAAATACCTCAACAATTACAGGAAAAGATTAATTTTAAGGAATTTGTTTGGAAATATAGCTTACTTGCAGAACAATGAAAGATTACATGTTAAAAATATACTTTACATTAATTAACCAGGAATCATTTTGAATTTATTGCAAGGGTTATGTGGATATGATTTTTTTAAATCTATGAAAAATTGAGTGAACAGTAGCTATCATCACTAAGATGATAATATTATAATCCTATAGTGGTCAATAACTTAATCTCTAGTCTGGATAGTGTATTGTTTCCACTTTCAAAATTAATTTCTTCATGCTTTAAATATAAAATAGCAAGTAATGAAACAAACGAACATTGTACATAAATAATGAGGATAATTTTGAAGTAGTGTGGTGATTTTGTCTTTAAACTGAAATAGGTAAAAAAAAAAAAAATATTACTAGTTTTATGACACAACAATGCTGTACTATACAATTAAAAAAAATACAAAAAAAATATGACAGTTGTATTTGTTTGATATGTTGTAATAACGATAATACTGTTCTCCTTGAGCTTCAGTAGAATTTGGACCGACATAACAATAGTTATGTACATTCATTAATTCCTTTACCATACATGTTACAAATGAAAGTCCAAGCTTCAAGCTAACATACATTCATATAAATTGATTTTTAAAAATTAATGTCTATTTAAACATATTGTTTTGTTTCATTTGTGAGGTTCATGTTTTCCTTCAATAGTAGTCCTATGTAATATTCTCAATCCTACTTTATTTCTGGAATACTGTGTTTCCTCGGAGGCTTCATGGCCAACTGCTAAATTGTCTGATATAATGAAGTCACCTTCTTCCCACTAGGAAAAAAAAGGGAAATTTTACACACATCATACATAACATTCTTCACAATATAAAAAATAAAATGCTTCGCTGAGCGCAGCCTGATACGACCGCAGTGGTTGAACCCTGAACAGTTGGGGCAAATTTGGACACAATATTCAAGCTTGATACTTTCTGAATTTGGATTGTGATCAAATTTTTCCCATAATATAGGTTTCTGACACAAAATAAATGTGGTCAAAGATTTTACAAATCTAATGCGCAATACTGTGCAATTGAAGATTTCTTCTTGAAATTTTTCAAAAATTTGAAATTTAAAAATGTTAAAAATGAACCGATTAAAAAATATTGGAACCCCCCCCTTTCAAACTTTTTGAATCCCCCTTGGAGCATTAACCATCAAACTCAATCCCAGTCTTTCCTTTGTAGTATGGAACCTTGTAGTACAATATTAGAGAGATCCATACACTTAAACATACTGTAAATTCAAAAATTATTGCGAGGTTTTTATTAATGCGAATAATGCGATTGAGGGAGTATCGCAATAATAAGAACTCGCATTCTGATATCTGATATAAATAACTGTATGCAGATTTTCCTGCAATCGCAATAATTAATCTCGCATCTTTGTCCTTTCCACAAAAATCGCAATAATAAACGCACGCAATAATTTCTGAATTTACAGTAAGTTATTGTCTGGAAACTATAAAAATGTTTGTTTTGGCTCTTTTTTTGCACTTAATTCCTGCATGTTTGGGGCAATTACCCCCAAACTCAATCCCAGCCTTCCCTTTGTGATATGGAACCTTGATGTACAATGTCAGAGAGATCCATACACTTACACACAAGCTATTGTCTGAAAGCTACAAAAATGCTAGTTTTAGGCCCTATTTGGCCCTTAATTCCTAATGTGTTGGCACCATAACCCCCAAAATGAATCCCAACTGTACTTGTGGTATTAAACATTGTGGTACAATTCAAAAAGGGACACAAAACAAGCATTTTGGCTCCTAATTCATAAACGGTTGGGACAATCATCTGCCAAATAAATCCCAATCTTCCTTTTATGGTATTGAACCTTCTTACAAAATTTTTATAGAGATCCAATCACTTAACTGAAGTTATTGTTCGGAAATCAAATGTGTTTTCAGTTGACGACGATGCAAACGATGACGACATCATAGCACTATATGAACATATACTAAATTTTGCAGTCTTATATAAATTGCTATTAGAAAGATAATGGAAAATTAAGCGCACATTTTAAATTTAAATTTGCTTTCAATCTTTAATCTATAAAAAAAATTAACAGCAGAAGAACCTTAACAAAATTTAGACTGAGTAACCACAGTTTCAGAATAGAAATTGAGATACATGAAAGAAATATAAATTCCAATGGACTTTGCAACCATAAAAGCCCATTTAAATACATCATAAAAGTATAAAAATAGAAAATGACATCATAGTCATAGCTAAAATTAGAAAACCTTGATCAGCAAAATTTATTAGTAATATCTAAAAATAAAATTCCTTTGTAAACATTTAATATAACTTCAAACAAGCTTGATACAGCTCTGAATTTGGATTGTGATTAAATATTTGACACAGCATAGGTTTCTGACACAGAATGAATGTGCTCCAAGAACTTAAATTTTTTTAATTTACCTATTATGGTCCAATATCCAAAATCTAAATACATGGTTAGATTCAGCATATCAAATAATCCAAAGAATTTAATTTTTGATGAAATCAAACAAAGTTTAATTTTGGACCCTTTTGATCTCAATGTGGACCAATTTGATAACGGGGCCAAAGATCAAAATACATGGTTAGATTCAGCATATCAAAGAACCCCATATATTCAATTTTGTTGAAATCAAACAAAGTTTAATTTTGGACCCCAACTTGGACCAACTTGAAAACTGGGCCCATAATAAAAAATCTAAACACATGTTTAGATTCAGCATATCAAAGTACCCCAAGAATTCAGTTTTTGTTAAAATCAAACTAAGTTTAATTTTGGACCCTTTGGACCTTAATGTAGACCAATTTAAAAAAACGGACTCAACATTAAAAATCTAAATACACGGTTAGATTTGGCATATCAAAGAACCCCAATAATTCAATTTTTGATGAAATCAAACAAAGTTTAATTTTGGACCCTTTTGACCTCAATATGAACCAATTTGATAGCGGGGCCCACAAATAAAAAATATAAATTCATGGCTAGATTCAGCATATCAAAGAACCCCATATATACAATTTTTGTTGAAATCAAACAAAGTTTAATTTTGGACCCCAATTTGGACCAACTTGAAAACTGGGCCCAAAATCAAAAATCTAAATATATGTTTAGATTCAGCATATCAAAGAACCCCATATATTCAATTTTTGTTAAAATCAAACTAAGTTTAATTTTGGACCCTTTGGACCTTAATGTAGACCAATTGGAAAACTGGACCCAAAATTAAAAATCTAAATACACGACTAGATTCGGCATATCAAATAAATAAATGTGGTCAAAGATTTTACAAATCTAATGCGCCATACTGTGCAATTAAAGATTACTTCTTGAAATTTTTCAATATTTGAAATTTGAAAAAAAAATAATATTTGAAGAATAATTCTTTTTAATTTCTGAAATCTGAAATGAGAAAAAATTGACCCCCCCCCCCCCCCTATTTCCCCCAAAAAATTCTTTCCCTCAAGATATGGTCATAATCTCAATTCAAATTTCCCATAGTGCTAACTTAATCTATTTTATAATAGAATTTAAAATATGGTGTCGAATCTTTCATATGGATTTTTTTGTTAAAAAAAAAAGATGCAACATTTGCAGATATTTTTACTGGTCTTCCTTTATAAATATGCATTTCTTTAAACATAATTTAAAAGCAGTGTAAGGGAAGTAACCAAAACCTTGTATTTGGATTACCTCCCTTACACTGTTTTAAATTGTCTTAATTGTTCATTAATCATTACTTTATACATAATTTTAAAGCAATGTAAGGTAGGTAATTCAAATGATGTATTTGATTTATCTCCCTTACACTGCTTTAAATTATGTTTTGTACTAAAGTATTTGTCCATTAACCAGGACAACCTTGTTTTTCCCCCTATTTTGCCCCTAATTCCTAAACGGTTTGAGCCATAACCCCCCAAAGCAAATCCTAACCATCCCTTTGTGGTATGGAAACTTGTGATATAATTTCAGAGAGATCCATATACCGTTCCACAAGTTATTGTCTGGAAACTAGAAAATGCTTATTTTTGGCCCCTAATTCCTTAACTGTTTGTAACCACAACCCCACAAAACAATCCCAACCTTCTTTTGTGGTATTTAACCTTAAGGTAAAATTTCATAGAGATCCATTCACTTAAACTAAAGTTATAGTGCGAAAACCAATGCGTCATCGGACGACGACGATGACAACGTCATACCAATATATGACCACAAATTTTTTTTGCGGTCGTATAAAAATCAAACATTTTAGTTGAAAGTACTAAATAAACCAGCAAAACTAAAAATAAAGGGGAACACTCAACACTAATTTGTGGCAGTTTAAAGTGTAATATTTTTGCAACTTCTATTGGATTTCCTGATATTCATAGAAATTCATATAACTTTGTCTTGTGAATACCAACGCATATTCCATCATTTTTGTCTTGCCTTCAACGAAAGATGCACAAAAAAAAAGTGAGACATAGGTGTTGCTTTTCTGGCGACGTTGGCAGTGACAACAGAAGATGCCTCAACAATTGTTAAGTTTTCTGCTTTAGTCAGATTGATAGGAACTACTTGTGATAGATCAATGATATTTATAAGTTGCAGTAGTATCAGTTTTACCACCATTTCAAGGCCCTGCCCTTGAAGGGAATGGTCCAGCGACTTAGAATTAATTAGCAATGTTTTTTTTTTGTTTTTTTTTTCTGCAAACAGGCAAGACATATCCATACCGGTCAACCTATGAAAATGAAAATGCAGGTCATGACCTGCATTGAAGAAGAAAATCTCCGGTCAAAACACATAGGAACTTTTTTTCATCTGAATTTAAGTATTTAGGGGACATTTTTTTATATTTTAAATCAAACAGTTTCCAAAATAGATTCACATGGTGAAGTACTAACTGAAATAATTAAAAACTTTAATTTTATTTTTTGATTGCATAATAAGCCATATTATTGATGTGTTATACTTTGTCATTTCAAGCCAAGCCGTACCCACCTCTTCTTGTTTCATTTATAGTATTATATTAATTCTCAAGCTACTTTTTTTCCAGTGTGTATCATAATGTGCAACTAACTGGTGGTGTTTAACGACCCTCGCACGGTCGGCAATAATGTGCAGCTTTACAATGATTGTTGATATTGGAATATTGGAAGCATTTAAAGGAAGTAGAGATAAAAAAAAAAATTGAAAATAATTTGTTAACTGTTATAAGGTAGAAAAATAAAAGAATGTAATATTCTGATATGTATTTGCATTCAATTTGTTTTAGATTTAATCTTTTTACAAAACAAGCATTCTGAGAGTATTGCATGGCAATACATAGTCCCCTACCGGGTAAAAATTCATTATCCTGGAACAAAAGGCTAACTTGTTCTATAACTTGTCATGGTGTAAACAAAAACAGTGTGGAAAACTGAATATATGAGTGAATTTTTTCAAGTCCAAGGACCATAACTCTGCACAAAATTATCAGACCGAAACAAAAATTTGAACTTGATTTGTAACTTGTCATGATAAAACTATGTACCAATTGTCAATCAATATCATCAAGCATGATGAAAAAAGGTGTGGAAAACCTATAACACTCTATCTAACATTAGATATGATTAATAGTTCTCTAAAATTAGATATGATGTAATTCAATGTATTTCTTTTTTCAAATTTCAATCAAATATAATTAATAGTTCCAAATATTTTTTCTTTCATTTGTCACAAACTAATATAGATTTGTAACTTATCTATAAAATGTCAACAACTTTTATCTACACAATGTAATGTAATGAAATATATACCTTAATAAAAATAGATTATTATCTAATTAAAGGATTTCACTTAATAAAAAAAAAATATATATATATATGTAGCATTCAGAAAATTAGTTTATACAAAATAACATATAAACCTGATACAAAATTCCTCAAATAATTTACCAAAGAATGTCTTTTAAAAAATGAGTTATCTCCCTTTGTACAGATTATATGGTTTAACATAGTACTCTAACATTAGTTATGGAGTTTTTTTATGGACCATAACTCTGGACTAAATCATTAGACCGGAACAAAATTCGAACTTGATCTATAACTTGTCATGATAAAACTATATACCATATATCAAATCAATATCTTCAAGAACGAAGAAAAAAAAGTGTGGAAAGCTGAGTTGCCGGACTGACGGATGGACAGACGGACGGACAGACAGACGGACAGAGTGCAAACCTAAAGTCCCCTTCGACTTCGTCGGTAGCAGACTAAAAAAAAACATAAAATTAAGGAGTATATTGTGAAAGGTGAAAAAAAAAGGGGAAGTAATTAAATTAAATGGGTCCTTTATTTGACAGTCAACACAGCGAGTTGAACTTCCTGTAAAGGAAGAATTACGAATTTACCGGTATTTCAAAGGAAAATCACCTATGAAATCAGTCGAAAGGCTCAAGAATCTGGATGAAAACGGGTCATTTTCCCGAATTCCAGGGTTATTTAACGACCCGGCGGGTATTTAGAAAATCCTGGGTATGGGGTGAAATTCTCAGGTGTGTCCCGCAGGATACGGATCAGTTGACAGGTATGCATATCTCTGTGTCAACAGATTATTACTACAAGTACCTTGTGAGAATATATGAGTCTTCTATCATCTTTGACAATTTCTTGGTATATTTCCTTTATTATCTTCACAGTTTCGGGCCTTTCTGTCATTCTTTCTTTGTCAGACCCTAAATCCCATACAAAAGCTGTTGACATTCCTAAATGAAAACATAATGTCTGCAAAGAACAAAAAAACAGTCTAACTTGTTTATTTTTAAACATTTAAGTACTATTAGAAAAATGTAGGAAAACTAATCTAATGATAAAAACAATTATTTTACATTCTATAATGATTTCAATTATTGATTAAAAAATACTCTTAATAAAATGCTTCGCTGGGGCGCAGCTTGATACGACCGCAGAGGTCGAACCCTGAACAGTTGGGGCAAGTATGGACACAACATTCAAGCTTGATACAGCTCTGAATTTGGATTGTTATTAAATATTTGACACAGCATAGGTTTCTGACACAGAAAGAATGTGGTCTAAGAACTTGATTTTTTTTAATTTACCTATTATGGTCCAATGTCCAAAATCAAAATACATGGTTAGATTCAGCATATCAAAGAACCCCATAAATTCAATTTTTGTTAAAATCAAACAAAGTTTAATTTTGGACCCCAACTTGGACAAACTTGAAAACTGGGCCCATAATCAAAAATCTAAACACATGTTTAGATTCAGCATATCAAAGAACCCCAAGAATTCAATTTTTGCTAAAATCAAACTAAGTTTAATTTTGGACCCTTTGGACCTTAATGTAGACCAATTTAAAAAACGGGACTTAAAATTAAAAATCTAAATACACGGTTAGATTTGGAATATCAAAGAACCCCAATAATTCAATTTTTGATGAAATCAAACAAAGTTTAATTTTGGACCCTTTTGACCTCAATATGAACCAATTTGATAGCGGGGCCCACAAATAAAAAATCTAAATTCATGGTTAGATTCAGCATATCAAAGAACCCCATATATTCAATTTTTGTTGAAATAAAAAAAAGTTTAATTTTGGACCCCAACTTGGACCAACTTGAAAACTGGGCCCATAATCAAAAATCTAAACACATGTTTAGATTCAGCATATCAAAGAACCCCAAGAATTCAATTTTTGTTAAAATCAAACTAAGTTTAATTTTGGACCCTTTGGACCTCAATGAACACCAATTTAACAAACGGGACCCAAATTAAAAATCTAAAAACACGGTTAGATTTGGCATATCAAAGAACCCCAATAATTCAATTTTTGATGAAATCAAACAAAGTTTAATTTTGGACCCTTTGGACCTCAATATGAACCAATTTGATAGCGGGGCCCACAAATAAAAAATCTAAATTCATGGTTAGATTCAGCATATCAAAGAACCCCATATATTCAATTTTTGTTGAAATCAAACAAAGTTTAATTTTGGACCCCAATTTGGACCAACTTGAAAACTAGGCCAAAAATCAAAAATCTAAATACATGTTTAGATTCAGCATATCAAAGAACCTCATATATTCAATTATTGCTAAAATCAAACAAAGTTTAATTTTGGACCCTTTGGACCTTAATGTAGACCAATTTGAAAACTGGACCCAAAATTAAAAATCTAAATACACTGTTAGATTCCGCATAACAAATAAATAAATGTGATCAAAGACTTTACAAATCTAAGGCGCCATACTGTGCAATTAAAGATTACTTCTTGAAATTTTTCAATATTTGAAATTTGAAAAAAAAATAATATTTGAAGAATAATTCTTTTTAATTTCTGAAATCTGAAATGAGAAAAAATTGACCCCCCACAATTTCTTTTTATCCCCCCCCCCTCTTTTTCCCCCAAAAAATTCTTTCCCTCAAGATATGGTCATAATCTCAATTCAAATTTCCAATGGAGTTGGCAACCATAATTACCCATTTAAATTTACCATGGTGCTAACTTAATCTATTTTATAATAGAATTAAAAATATAGTGTCAAATCTTTCATATGGATTTTTTTGTAAAAAAAAAAGATGCAACATTTGCAGATATTTTTACTGGTCTTCCTTTATAAATATGCATTTCTTTAAACATAATTTAAAAGCAGTGTAAGGGAAGTAACCAAAACGTTGTATTTGGATTACCTCCCTTACACTGTTTTAAATTATCTTTATTGTTCATTAACCATTACTTTATACATAATTTAAAAGCAGTGTAAGGGAGATAATTTCAATGATGTATTTGATTTATCTCCCTTACACTGCTTTAAATTATGTTTTGTACTAAAGTATTTGTCCATTAACCAGGACAACCTTGTTTTTCCCCCTTTTTTGCCCCTAATTCCTAAACGGTTTGAGCCATAACCCCCCAAAGCAAATCCTAACCATCCCTTTGTGGTATGGAAACTTGTAGTATAATTTCAGAGAGATCCATACACCGTTCCACAGTTATTGTCTGGAAACTAGAAAATGCTTATTTTTGGCCCCTAATTCCTAAACTGTTGGTACCATAACCCCCAAAATCAATCCCAACCTTCCTTTTGTGGTATTTAATCTTATGGTCAAATTTCAAAAAGATCCATTCACTTAAACTAAAGTTAGAGTGCGAAAACCAATGTGTCTTCGGACGACGACGCCAACGTCATACCAATATACGACCACAAAATTTTTTTGCGGTCGTATAAAAAGGGAGATGACTTATCAAATTATACTGCAGCTGGTGAATATATCATTAGAAATGTACATGTAGTTCTAAAATACAACTTACCATTAATTATATTGAAGTTGTTAAGTCTATAAAACCTTGCATAATACTAGGACCAACATAGGATTAGTTTTAATCAACACCTATATGTAACTCTGCAAATGCAAAGATAAAGGTAAGGTTGATGTTTTAACTTTAGCTGGTCAATGGAAATATTCAATAGATATAATTATATATAAGACACACTAAGACTGACTCAAGCCAAATGCAACCTTAGTGTTTCAATATAATGTTCAGAGGAAATAAGCATCCATGGAGCTAAGTAAAAATAAAAGAAGAATGTGTCTGAGGACACGAATGCCCCTGCTAAGCTTTGCAATGAAAATGGAACAGACGGAAGGATGGATGGTCAAAGCTTATTCTTTATGATGCCTTAATTTTAACTACTATTCTGTTTCAATAAAGATTATAAGTTTCTCACAGCATATGATTTTCGTAAAGTATCAAGATGTATTTACCTTTAACCCTGTGATGGGATGAGGATATATCAAAGGATGAACGACACCATCTCTTCTATCTGACACCATCCATAATCTTTCCCATCTTGCTGCTACCTCTGGTGTTAAACTGTTGATCAAATCGTTCAGGGGTATAAAAGCTGAAATAAACAATAAAATGCTGGATTTGCTGATGTAGATGCACTGAATTATAAAGTTTGAAATTTAGAGAGTGAAAAACTATTTCTGTACATATGCAAATGGGTTTTTGACCATGACTTTCACTTATGGTTTTCTTCCTTATATGTGACAAACCTTCTAGTAGTGGTGAATAATACTGCCAAGTTTCATTTCTCCAACTCCAAGTGAATTGAAAGTTATTGAGCAGAAACAATTTTGATTCATATGCACAGGGGTGACTAAGTTTTCTTACCTTGACTTTCACTGTACAGCTTTCTTCCTTGTACGCAACACAACTTCTTGTATTAAAGAATTATAATGCCAAGTTACATTGCCAAACTCCAAGGGGTTTGAAAGTTAGAGAACAGAAATGATTTGTGACAGAATGACAGACAAGCAGATTACTCTTGGCCTTAACAATCCAAATAGAATTCACCTGGTACATATACTGATCATGATGCAACTGTGTATCATTAATAATTACCCTTTAGTATAAGTCAAGGATTTGTATAGTGAATTAAACAAATCCTTGAGTAAGTGTACTCAGAGAAAATTTTGTGGTGTGAACAAGGACTTATTTGCAATACCTTATGATGAACCTTAAAATGTTAGCATTCTCTTTAATCAGTTAATAGGGACCTTGATGGCCGAGTGGTCTAAGTATTAGAACTACTGTGTCACTAGCCTGTCAACAATGAGGTTGTGACTTTGAATATCTCACATGGCAGATGTGCTTCACTCTAATCTTAATTGACTAGAATTGTCAGTTTTCCTACCAAAGGTTGTGGTTTTCTCCATGCACTCAAGCATCCTCCACCAATATACATTTTGTAAACTGACTGCCATAAAATAGTACAATAGTGCTGAAAGTGGCCCAACACCAATCAATCAATTAATAAATTACCCGTGTCTCCTTTTATTGGAACAGAGAACATATAATACAATGAGTAACCGAACGGTTTCTTCATAAAACTTCCATCAATATGCCATCCTGTCCGACCTACGTGTGTACAACCTTCGTCTTCGTCATTCGATACTCTGAAGACATCGGGATGCGGTGAACGAGGATGTTTATAAAAAGTAGACTCCAAATTACCGAACCATTTACTGATCTCAACTTGTCTGTCACCACTTATCTTGCTTTGATTTTTAAAGATCACTAGTCTGTGTTGATGGACATTGTTCTTGATCTGCTCAATGACGTTTTCTGGAACAGAACCGTTTAAGTTTATGTCAGTTACTACTTTCCCGAGTTCTTTCATTTTCAAGAACCTGTGTGCAGACCTATATACCATAATTACCTCCTTTCTAAAGAGTGTTTACAAAAATGATGACCTTCATCTTCTTCTCTGGATCTTTACACCCTATATAGGGTAACCATACTTTCGTATGTCGAACAGTTCCACCACCAAAAAATAATGAAAATTAACAATCATAACACCACAACATTATATACACTATTTACATTAGGAACTTTTAAAGTTTTTATGACTTTTTACATGGGAAGTTAACTTTACAGTTTTATAACTAAGAAGGGAGGGGCTGCCTAGAGTGGCACGGTTTCACCAGAAATGCGTCGGACTAAAACATGGACCCAAAACAACATACTGGATGTGTAGAAACTGCCATTGTAAATAAAAAATTTTAAAAATTGTTCTTGATCTGCTCAATGAATCACCAATCAATCAATTAATAAATTACCCGTGTCTCCTTTTATTGGAACAGAGCCTCGGAACATATAATACAATGAGTAACCGAAAGTAGTAACTGACATAAACTCGGGAAAGTAGTAACTGACATAAACTTAAACGGTTCTGTTCCAGAAAACGTCATTGAGCAGAACTCGGGAAAGTAGTAAAAGTTTTCAAGATATTACTATTCCCAGCATACATTAAAGTGCATTAACGTAACAATAAGACAATGTAACCGTAGACACAAATATTATTGATACATTCGTAATTAATTGGTTCCTTACCAACCCTGCATTCCGGCAATTAGTCTCCAATGTAACAATAACTTTTTTTATTATTGTTACATTCAGTCAATGCAGGCGGAAACCCAGTTGAAATAGAACAAAAGAATCGATGCTCTTTGTTAGAGAAGGCGATAAATGCTTACTGTAATGTTTACTATAGTAACACAAATTTTAAAAGTTAATAGAAACAAATAAAATGACAGTTTTCGGCTAAATTACGAAGTATTTTATCATAAAAACACCATTTGCATAAGTTTTCAATTTATCTATTACATAATTAAGCAGAACAATTAGATATCCAGTCGACGACGATGGGTGTCTATTCAGTTGGATCTAAAAAATGCAAAACCTCCGATTTAAAAAAAAATAAAACCACGGATGGAGAACATATCAATCTATTTGTTCCTTAATTTTCGTTTCTGCCCTTCTATTATGTGACTCGAGAAATAATTCCAAAAAATGGGTAACAATTGCATCGAAAAGAGAAAATCGAGTGCACCTTTTTATGATAGGGCGTGTTTGAGTTGAATATTTTGTCTTGAAAACGTAAAAAGCAAAAGTATTTGATACATCATCTCGCTTCAGATTCTCTCATTTTTATATATCAAGGCTACAGGTTGACTTTATAACATCGAAAATTCACAGTACTAAAAAAATGAGATATATGGGTCAAGTGAAATATCTTTCTAATGAATCACAAAAACAGAGTTGGTGTGTTCGAATAGCAAATTTTTACTAAAATTACTTGACGACAGACTTTTCAGTTGGATCTTAAAAATGCATATCTTCGAAAAAACTTCATTTTTTGTGTGTGATATCTAGGATTTATAGTCTTCAACCACTGAAAAATTTTAAGTCTGCCCTTCCACGAAATATTGAATTAGAATTTTTTTAAATGTTTATGAATTTTCGAAAATTCCACCTGACAACCGATCAGACAATAGTTTTAAGTTGACTGAAAGCAGACAAGTACATTAACTGATGCTCATTAGCTAGTAGATACATTTGTCTTTTAAAATACAACTGACATATAAGGATCGTAATGGTGCTATTGGGATAAATTTATCGGTTTTCAAGAGCTAAATTGGCAGCGCGTCATCCCTACAATGGCTTCCATTTTTACGATTGTAAACATGAACTGGCGTAATGGGGAGATAATTTTGACGAAGTAGAATCCTGACTGAATGTAACCGTAGCCAGTGCCTAGTGATTAATATTGAATGCTAAACGGGTATATATATCTGGGCTTCTCGTATTTAACATCTTTTTATGTACCTATTACACCTATGCTTGCTCAGATAAAACAACGAATTCATGACCAAATTTTACAGGAACAGAATTCATATATTACGGAATCATCAAAATTACCATTTTTTCGACATTATTGTTTTTCAAATAAACGTGCACACTATCATGTTGATCAATTGAATATGTTGAAAGATAGGGCACCTTTGGCAAAACTTAAGGCTAAGTGCACACAATATTGAAATTGAAAGAGGCAGATACCTGCGAGTTAACAGAGAAGAGAGGTTGTGCAAATTATGTCATAATAATAATATAGAAGACGAAAAACATTTTATCTTGCATTGTACAAAATATGAATCACAAAGAAATGTACTTATATCAAAATAATCCAATTTTAAAAATTATGACAAACAATCCAAAACTGAAGATGAATATATCAAACTACTACTTAATAGCAAGCGTAGAAAAACACTTAGATTAATATCATCTTTTATTATTCAATCATTTGAATTCAAGAAAAATGTCCTAATAAATGAGTAATATGAACATTATGAAGCTATAACATATATTGTATGTATGTCAGTAGCCTATTCTACATTAACTTATGTATATTAATATATGTATAACTGCAAATTTCATTGTTCGAAATGTGCCTATTAATATATTATGTAGTATTGTTTAATTGCTGCATCATTACCATTTGTATACTAGTTGTATGGGCCGTTGCCAATTATTTTAATTGAGTTTGTGCCAATAAAATATTTGTATTTGTAGAGCCTGTTTCGCTCACCTGCATCTTCAACAATGGCACTTTTTAGGAAAAATCATCATAAAAGGGGAATAACTCTATTAAGAGTTAACTGACAATTTCAGTCATGTTGGCATGTTTGTAGATCTTATCCTGCTGATAATTTTTCCTTTTTAAAGTTTCTATTTATCTATTATAGTTTAAGATATTAGGCAAAAAATGAATAAAAAGTATTATTTACGGGCAATAACTGAAATAACGACCGAAGATTTCGGCCATTATGGCACGTTTGTAGATCTTGTCATGCAGATTATTTGAGATATTTTACAAAATTTCTATCTATCTATTATATTTTTTAGGATATTAGGCACATACGAAAAAAATGGGTAAAAATCGTCATTATAGGGCAATAACTCTAATAAGGCGTAAACCGAAGATTTCGGCTCTGTTGACCTATTTGTAGATCATGTCATGCTGCTCAGGTTTGCTTTTGAAAGATTCTCTCTATCTATTATAGTTTTAAAGCTATTAGGCAATAACGCAAAAAAATTGGTGAAAATCGTCATTAAAGGGCAAAACTCCAAGGAGTCAACTGAAGTTTTCAACTATGTTTGACTTAATTGTAGATCCTGTCGCGATGATTTAAAGTTTCTATATATCTATTATAATTTTCGAGATAATAAGCAAACATTTTTTAAAATGATAGTATTCATCATTTCAGGGCAATAATTCCTATAAGAAGTCGTCTGACAGTCTCGACTTAAACGGACAATAGGTAGAGCTCAAAATTCTGAACATTTTTGCCCCAACAGATTTTCTCTATTCATAGCGATTTTCGAAATAATAGGCAAACCTATGTTCTATTTTTAGCCATGTCGGCAATCTTGGTTGACAGCTGGAGTCATCAGACACATTTTTTAAACTAGATACCCTAATTATGATGACGACGGACGCAAAGCAATGAGAAAAGCTCAATTGGCCTTTCGGCCAGGTGACCTTAAAAAGGGGGGTTGCATTTTACATGTCAAAAAGGTCCCATATACTTGAGATTACTATAATTATTTATTTGTTACAAATGCATAGTAATCTCAGCATGAACAGTTACGTACATGCAGTGTGTTGTTTTGTTTTCTTTTGTAGGCGTTTCTATTTGGCTTAAAAAATTAGACACACACACATTCCCGTTGAAAAATGACAGTAAATATATCCACAAACATGCTTGCTCTTCAAGCCTCTAGAGACATGCATGAGGGTGTTCAGCTTACACATGTAGAATTTTCATAACTTGTCATACCTGATCTTATTTTAACATGCCATATGCAACCATCTAAAACCCTGAAATGAAAAGACGTCTTTTGGTTTTTTTTAATTTGCTTACTCATAATATTGATACATCTACTCATAGACAATATCTCCTTTTTTCATAATCAAAGCGTGCACATGCTGAAATGTCTCTCCTGCTTTGCTGGTAATGATTGAATTAGTGTTGTTTTTAAGATAAAGGTTTACTACTGGTGTCACATCCTAAGTAAATTTAATTAAATGAAAATGAGGTCAGGGTCAGATGAACCCTGCCAGATGCCCGATTAACATGTACACTTTATGACCATTCCATACACCAAATATAGTTGCCTATAGTATCTGAGAAACCGATTAACAACGAAAACTTAATGTTGACCAATGAACTATGAAAATGAGGTCAAGGTCAAATGAACCCTGACAGATAGAAATGAACACTTACAACTATTCCAGTCACCAAAATACAATATAGAACATGTTTCTGAGAATTTGACCTAGTCAAGAACTGAACACAAGACCAACGAACCATGAAAATGAGATCAAGGTCAGATGAACCTTGCCAGACGAACAGGTATATCTTACAATCATTTCATACACAAAATATAGTTGATCTATTGCTTAGAATATAAGAGACAAAGACATAAGCACCAAAAACTTTACTTTGACAAATGAACTAAGAAAATGAATTCATAGGTCAAATGAACCGATTGCTTATTATCTGAAAAAGACCTACCCACAAAACTTAGTGCTGATCACTTATCCATGGAATGAGGCCAAGGTCATGTAAACAAACACACATGTATAACTTTCGATGGTTCTATATATATATACCAAATATAGTTGTCCTATACTCATACGTGAGAAAATTACATGATAAAAAAACTTTCAAGTAGTCACTAAACCATGAAAATGAGGTCAAGAACAGACATGCCTGATAGAAACTTCAGAACATAAGGCATATGTATGCAAGATATGAAGTATGAAGGATATAGGTCTTCTACCTTCCGACATAAAAAGCTTTATACAGGTATTCAACTACGTCTCAGGATTAGCATCCCCATGTTTGTGATAATGTGGTCTGGTACTAAACCAGTATTTGACAAGTTCTGAAAGGGTTTTATTTCTTTTGCAATAAGTAATTACATGTTAAAACTGGGTACAGACCAGCAATAAGGTTCAAATTAATTTTTCATTTATCTCACCTTCAACTAAGTCGACGAATGCAAGCCATTTTGGAAAAAAGTCACATTTAAGTGTTAAAAGGCATGAAAAGGCATAAAAGCCAAGGAATTTGTTTTTGTCCCGGCCGATAAAGCTGCTTATAATATTATTATTGTTTGACGTAAATTTTACATTGAGGTTCTGAAAAAAGAAATCACCAATTCACCAACATTCCAACTGACTCCATTTTCAGAAAACGACATCTGTAACAAACATAAACTTTTAGCTACCGCTTTACAAGCAGAACCAAATACAATGAAAGTCCCAACTTTGTATTGGCTTCCGAAGCTACACAAAACAGCTTACAAATATAGATTCATTTCGTCTTCAAGCCATTGTTCCACTACTAAATTGTCTATTCTTCTTACCAGTACACTTGGTACAATCAAAAACCTGATAATAAATTGTTCAAATAAGGCCTTCGAAAATAGTGGAATTAATTACTTTTGGAGTGTCAAGAACTCGTTGGAAGTACTTGATAAATTGCATGCATATATTGGTGATTTTGAATCTGTTCAAAGTTTTGATTTTTCTACCCTATATACCACATTGCCTCACATTCTCATTAAGAAAAAATTCACACACCTAATTAAATGGGCATTTAAAAAGTCAGAATGTGAATATATATGTTCAAACTCTTTTAGGTCATTTTTTAGTAGCAATAAACAAAAAAACTATGTCAATTGGACATGCTTTGATACTATATATGCCCTTGAATTTTTACTAGATAACATTTTTGTTCGCTTTGGAGATTCCGTATATCGTCAGGTTATCGGAATTCCAATGGGGACTAACTGTGCACCACTTATTGCGGACCCTTTTTTTGTATTGCTATGAGTTACAATTTATGACAAAAATCAGCAAAGACCCATCGAAACAGCATCTGATACACAAATTCAATAATAGTTTTAGATATTTGGATGATATTTTGGCTCTCAATAATGACGACTTCAGTATGTATACTAAAGAAATTTATCCTGTTGAACTTACTTTAAATAAAGCTAATACTAACAATGACCACTGCCCTTTCCTTGATCTTGATATCTATATCATTAACGGAAAGCTTAATACTAAAATATATGATAAAAGAGATGATTTTTCATTTCCTATTGTAAATTATCCATTTTTAGATGGTGACGTTCCCTTGTCACCATCTTACGGTGTTTATATATCTCAACTTGTTCGATTCGCTCGTGTATGTAACAATGTTTTAGATTTTAACGAGAGAAATTTATGTATTACTGAAAAATTATTACACCAGGGATTTCGATATCACAAACTAGTCAAAACATTTACTAAATTTTATCATCGGTATAAGGACATCATTCGTAAATATAGCTCAACATGCAGACTTCTTATACGTTCAGGTATTTCACATCCAATTTTTTATGGAAATATTCTTTATAAAGCACAAAAATGTCAGTATTCACCTCTGAAGCTAACAAAACCTTTAAATAGACTTATTAAGAAGGGATATAGTTACAATACTGTTGTCAGGTCATTAAAGATTGCATATTTTGGCGTTAATATTGATTCCTTATAGGGTCTTTGCATCAGAACTAAACACATTTATTTAAAAACCAGTTGTTGGCATGACACGGGTTATGTTCTTCTCATATATGTTATGATGGTATGATACTAAACCCCTAACGGGAAGGATTGTGCCTGATATTCATATGATGAAGACATAATCTTTCAATCAGTTTAATTGAAGTCTGGAGCTGGCATGTCAGTTAACTGCTAGTAGTCTGTTGTTATTTATGTATCATTGTCATTTTGTTTATTTTCTTTGGTTACATCTTCTGACATCAGACTCGGACTTCTCTTGAACTGAATTTTAATGTGCGTATTGTTATGCGTTTACTTTTCTACATTGGCTAAAGGTATAGGGGAGGGTTGAGATCTCATAAACATGTTTAACCCCGCCGCATTTTTGCGCCTGTCCCAAGTCAGGAGCCTCTAGCCTTTGTTAGTCTTGTATTATTTTTAATTTTAGTTTCTTGAGTACAATTTGGAGTTTAGTATGGCGTTCATTATCATTGAACTAGTATATATATTTGTTTAGGGGCCAGCTGAAGGACGCCTCCGGGTGCGGGAATTTCTCGCTGCATTGAAGACCTGTTGGTGACCTTCTGCTGTTGTCTGTTCTATGGTCGGGTTGTTGTCTCTTTGACACATTCCCCATTTCCATTCTCAATTTTATGATGCCTGTATCAGTAGGTGAAGTACTTCAAGCTTGCTTTTAATAAGTGTAAATAATTGATAGCAGTTAGTCCTTTTTGATCTTTAAGATTTACTGAAATTTAGTCCATTTCTAAATACAGTAAAGGTAGTAACTATGTTTGATAATGGTTGGAGTCATTAAATTTTATTTCTGAAACAGGGAATCATTGTAGCAACTGACCCAATATAGGATTTTCTGAATTTGAGTGATCTCACAGCATCAGAAATTAGATTGAATACGCAGCCATTTGTTCCAAAGATATTCTGCATTCATTGCTTTGTTTATTCTCAAGCTGTTCAGATCAAGCAAGAGATTCTTACAGGATGAAAGTGGCAGTTCAATTTCAAACTTTTGTCATCTTAAATAGGGTTATGTCCTGGTGCATTATGTGTTTTATCTGTCTTAACATTTGAATCAATGTATTTTTTCAACAATTACGTTTTTGTTTCATTACACAATTTGGTTGCTCACTCTCCTGATCTGTGTATTCAATCACGATAAAGTCAAACAGATCTAAGTATTAGACCATGTTCATTTTCCTTTTTTAAAATCATTTTCTTGTGTGCAATTTTCTAATTTTTAATACTTGATGAATGTATTTAGCAATGGTGACAATCTTGTTTGGTAATAGTTGGGATCAACAAACATAATTCCATAAGTTTTTCATAAATTTATCATTATGTCATTTACATCGTCAGAATTTGTCCTCTAAATGGTAGTAAGTTGTCTTATAACTGATTTTTTATTTATTTCAGAAAAGAATGAATTCAAACAACAAATTCTGCACAACAAAACTGAATTTTTAAATCTTTGTAGTATAAATGTGTTTCAGAATTGATTAGCTTTCAATTCTGAATAAACTGAAATCCATGTTCAACAGGGGGCATTACCAGTTCTGCTTGAAAAAGATGCCCACATCCTCATGCTTTCTGCATTCAAGTTCAAGCTAGCTTTTTGAAGAAGAAAAAAAGTGAAAAGGCTGCTTTATCTTCCTTTGTATGGCATTTGTCATCTAAGAAGTAAGAAACGGATCTTATACTGTTTAATAGGTTATACACATATTAGATGATCAACTTTTTCACATAGAATACTATATAAGTCTTTATCAAATTTCTTCCATAAACATTTGAAAACTGGCAAATTCTTTCTCACTTATCTATAATTTTTCATGCAAAACTAGTTTTCACAAGTTACTCTTTTGTAAATTATACACTGATGTTATAATAAGTATCAATTAAATTATCTCATTTTCAATTCAAATAAACTGATAAAATAGGAAAATAGAAAAAAGTAAGAAAATAAGCAGCCATCTGTGTAGCTGAAGAAAACAATAATTGTCAGCATCCTTGCATATCAATTATTTGGAGGTAAAAATTAATGTATGACAACAGAATAAAAGGCTTTATAAATGAATTATGTACAGTTGCTTAAAACAAAACATATATCACCATATTTCAAATTCTTTCACTTTTACTTTGTTACTACAAATTTTCATACATTTTACAAATGTTCATTTTTTCATTTCTCCACTCAATTCATCCAATACATACAATATCATCATCTGATCAAAATACACACTACAATGTATTTAACCCATTCACAAATATACATATAGTCATTTACCTCCATAATACATATTTATATCACACAAAGCTAAATGCTCCCAGCATAACATAGTATTGAATGTCATTCAATTAGTGCTTAGATTTTGTGATACATGTACCTTTATCAAATCTTAATCTAGCAATCAATGTCACTGTATGATCTACTATATAGGATAAAAACATTTGTAGATATTACTATTTCTAAATGAAAATATTAAAAGAATGGTGAATATTCAATGGTCTTTTTTAAGACTACTTGAAGGAGAACCAATCAAAACGCATTAAGCATTGTACTGACTTACTCATAAATATTTGTTCATAAATTCATAACCAATCACTTAAAAAATAAATGCTCCTATAATCTTGTAATACCATATCTAGTCATATTTCAATATAGTTCATAGAAAATTGAAAGCTGTTAAAACTCTAAATTGTAGTCAAATTAGATATTTATGTATCTTGTACATACAAAGACCCTTTTAATTAAAACCATGCAACATTAAATATAAATAATATTTTCTTAATCATGACAGCATAAAAATAGGCCAGCTAGACCTTTTTTTATATACATTTCCTCAGGGAATAATACCTGACAATACAATTTTTAAATATAACAATTTGCTTAATTTTGGTATTATTTTTAAATCCAGGAAGATGATGAGTGATGGGTAATGAATGTGAAAATGCACAATATAGCATAGCAGGATCAAATGAAACTTGATACCAAGTTTGAGGAGGCTCTGATGCACAGTTCCTCAGAAAAAATTGACAAAAATATCAAACCAGCAATTATAAGTAAGAAGGTCTGAGTACACAGTTATTTCGTAGTGCATTTCTTTTAGACAATAAATGAAAATAAAAAAAATTCCCACCTGCGCTTTCTCAATAATATTTTTACAGTGTGTTGTACTACTTTTGGGACAAATTATATCAAAATTATAGAAAACTTCATCGGCTCTAACTCAAAATATGGACAATTCTATGTTAAGGGGGTCTTGAAATCTTTTGACAGCTTCCAAAGTGCTAATTTTTAACCTTTTTCAGCTGGACCAAATCACTACTTTACTTTAAAATTCATGACCCAAATTTTTTTACAGTGTAATTTCATCACCCTTCTTGCTATTTGAGGCATAAAACATGAAGAAATACATTTGGAAGGGGTACTAAAAAAATTGGCAAGCAACACATTGTCCACACTAGGGACTATATTCGTGGACAACAAAAAATCAAAGGAAGATAACTGTGTACTCGGACCAGAATATATACAAGTACTCTGAAATTATAAAGTTGATGAGTGATAGAGGTGAATCGGCATCATACTGATTTGTAGTTCCTGAGAAAAATGAGACTGATGGACAGGCAAAATCCAGAATATCATCCTTCAGAGTGAGGTATAATATTTATTTCCCAATTTATTTAATTTGCTGCGAATGGAAAATAGTTCCTGAGAAAAATGCAATAAAAGTTTCATGGGACACAAAAACAGAGGTAAAGCAGTATACCCTCCCTCCCTCGGAGGAGTATTTAAATCTTCAAAGACAATGAAATCAGTGTTTGCAGATTTTCAAATAACACTTCTAAATAGATATTTTCAAAAGTTTATTGATGTTTGCTGGACTTCTGAGGATTTTTCCTGGTCGCTTCACTTCTTGAATGACAATCAACATATAAGTGGTGGTCAAAAGCAATACATAAAAATATTTCCTCTTTCACCTCAGACTATAGTATAAAGTATTTGAAACAGGTATATTACAGATGCAGTGTACAATAAAATATGCCATACTCCAGCACAGTCAGGTTTACATGTGTATACAAGAACATCCACTTAATACCTTTAGTGGTGTAACCTGTTAATGTACATGTACATTGACAACAACTTGTTATTGTTGAATGATGATTCCATAACAAACAAATGGCAATTCAATCATTGAATATTGAATAACAAAGGTTGATCAATATTACAGCACTGTTAATTATTTAGATCACTGTATTCACTATACTTCATGGGGTGAAGGATATTAACTGTCCTATAGGAACATCTGCTGTGACAGATAATGATGCATCTTCATCTCTAGGTGGTGTGAATAACAAACTAGGTCTCTACAAAGTAAAATATAAAACTGTTGACTGATAGTGCATAACCCATTATGTGGAAAACTTTTAGTAAAATAAACCCTCCTTAATTCATCATTTGACCAGCAAGTTTTGACACTTAGAGGTTTGGAAACAAACTGAGAGAAGGATGGAAAAAAAAAAAGAGAAGTCTGTGAATTTATTTATAAAATTTGAAAGACTTATGCGTTTGCAAATTTAACAGACAATTCATAACTGCCAATATCATGACACTAACAATGACAGCTAATGATTAACAAAACGAATCAATCTCGTGTAGAAACTGCTTGCAATGGACAGACATACCATTCAGTGACAATATGATTCCCTGAAATTTGTTGTGAGCTTTTATTTGAAACATGTACAAGTACCCAAATGTGGAGATATTAAAATGCTACTTACAGTACTTTTAGCTACTGGTGTGAATCCTATGTTTAAACTGGAAAACCTGTTTATTTCACCGTCAGAACTATCTGGTGTTGATGTATTAGACAGAGTTGGTCTGGAGCTTGGAGGTGTTGTTAAAACATCATCTGTAAAATTATAACAAAGGCCTTAAGAGTAAAAACAAATTATGTTGTATATACACTGTATTGTTAGTGGAAATCAATTACTAGATCTTAATAAGAATTAAAATAGCCATAAATGCACAATATTTCTTCCGTTATGAATACCAAGGATAATTTTCTCCTAGTGAACTATAGCATCAGACATGTAAAAAAATGTAACATCAAATTTTAATTTTAGTTTTTTTCATGCGAAAGCAATTGTTCAATTATTTTCAACCTAATACTTACTAAGGAAAGTATATACAAAATAAATGTGCTAGTTATTATCTCCCCTGAAACAGGTGGATATGCCATTAAGAAATATAAAGACAGAAACAATGTATTAATTCAGATGAACCTAAAGCTGTCTGTTCTGCTCTAGGGACAGAAATAGTTATCTATTGTCTTAAAATGCACTTACAAATAAATTTCAATATGGTTATATCTATCAAAATTTTTCAAAATCAAGCATATGGTGAGGAGATAATTTTAAGAAACTTGTCTTACGATGGCACATGATTATTATAGATCTAACAGAGCTAAAAAGCTTTCAAAGACAGTGTCTATTTTATCCAGAAGAGTCTTTATATTTCAAACACCTACTATACTGTGATATACTTCTATTCAAAATAAAATGTGAAACTTTTAAATAATTGTAATACTGTACCACTTATATTTTCACACTCTTGTGTCTTTGGAGACATGAACTGGACACTTTTTCTTGATGACCTTCTCCTTTCTCTTGTTGGTAGCTGTTTCAAACTTGAATGTCTTGTTCTGTTCTGCCCTGTACTGGAATCATTATGACTAGAATCTAAAAAATATAGGTATAACGTAGTGTCTACATAATGATTAATCAGTGTGATCATTGATAATCATTTGTCATTGCTACATTAGTATGAAGATTAATTCCTTTTAACTGAGACCAATATATACATGGATATACACATTCTGTATGTGCCTGTCCCAAGTCAGGAGCCTGTACTTCTGTGGTTGTCCTTTTCTGCTATATATATCATAATTATTTGTTTTTCTTTTGTTTTATATATAAATCAGGCCTTTAATTTTCTTGTTTGACTTGTTATATGTTTACCATGTCAGGTTTATTTTATAGCTTGGTATGTGTTTTAGGTTATGCTCATTGCTGAAGGCCATATTGTGACTTGTAGTTGCTAACTTCTACCTCCATTGGTCTTTGGTAGAGAGTTTTCTCATTGGCAATCTTACATCTTCTTATTTTTATAATATACCGGTAAATTGCGTAAATTGCAACAAATGCAAATTGCACAAAATTTTAAACATTTGTCCTCATCTTTCATCAAACCTGCTGGTTATTCCTCAAAATTTTAAACATTTGTCCTCATCTTTCATCAAACCTGCTGGTTATTCCTCAAAATTTTAAACATTTGTTCTCATCTTTCATCAAACCTGCTGGTTATTCCTCAAAATAACTTTTTTGCAACAACATATATTTTGTTTGTTATGAAATGGTATGTTTATTCTCTTTCTTAAATGGGGAAAAGAATCCAAAGTGGTTGTTATCATACCTCCTTCTTAATTTGTAAATTGATAATAACCAGATTAAACTGTAAACTTACTGTTTAATGCTGGAGAGAAAACTGTGTCAGATCCAGCTTCAGCATGTGCTGTAAATGAATCATCATCTGGTATGGCATCTAAGACACTGTATCCTTTAGGTGCCATGGACATCCTGGGTGTCATTGGTTGTAAATATTTTGAGAAAGGATCCTCTGAAGGTTGTACTTCATCTTCATCTGGCACAATCACACTATCACAGAATGAGACAGATTTCCTTGTACGTAGTGATCTCCTTTATAAAATATAACACATGTATATTATTAGTGCTGAAAATACTTGATGCCAAGGTCTAGGGACTAGTCATTTTGTATTCATCTAAGCAAAAGTACTGTCTATCTTGTCAAGAGAAAGATGCTCTGACAGTAAAAAGCCATGTAAAATAAATTTTCCGGTTCTCAGATTACTTCAAAAATGTGGGAAAAAAAATAACAAGGGGGAAAGAAAAATCCTGTATTTATGTGAATTCTTATGTAAATTACAGGATTATGTAATTAAGTGAGGCCAATATTTTGAGTTTCTCCTCTTTCCTTCATCATATGCATATATTTGAAAAGAAGACTTGATTTACAAGTTTTTTTTCTACAAGAGCTTAAAGTCCATCTAAAAGTAGATACTGACATAACCCAAGAGAGCTAAAAATATTTGAATAAAACCTGAAGTTTTAATCTATTTCATACCTTCTTGGTTTACTTTCTGACTGAACTTTAATTACACGTTCAGATTTCGTTGCTGGGGATGACTCTAGTGCATCATCTGTAAAATCTATTGTCTTCTTTTCTAATAAATTGTTTGCCAGATCTTTTGCAATAGTAGTCAATTTCTCTTCCAAAATAACATTGTCATCTACATCAGATAATATATTTTTAGGCAAAGGGGTTTTCCTGTATGCACTGCTCCTTGTAGCCCTAGGCTGAGGGGTAATATCTTGCAGTAAAGGACTTGGTACATTAGGTAAATAGCTCTTTCTTTTAAGTGGTGTCATTATGGGTGTAGTCAGTTGATCATCAGAGGTTACCGTAGGTGTCAGTTTGTTGTTTGGTGTTGAATTTGCCGTCAATGCAGTATTAGTTTGATTTGATGAATCTGTTGACTGTGTATTTTCAACAGTATCAATCTTCACTTCAATTTCTGGTCTTGGCATTTGTCTTGGTGATCCAGCTGAAACAAAACATTACTTGTGATTAATTTAATTATCCTTCATGTATTTTACAAGGGGGCCTCGGTGGCTAAGTGGTCTAAGTAGTTACCACTGTAATCACTAACCAGTCAACACTGAGGTTGCGAGTTTGAACCCTGCTTGTGCGGGTGCACTTGACTCCAAACTTAATTGACTATGGTTTTCTCCGGCTTCCTCCACCAATAAAAACTGGCCGCCATGAAATAGCACCATAGTGCTTAAAAGTGGCGTTAAAACACCAAAAATCAAAAAATCAATGTATTTTACAATTTAATGATAGATATGCTTGCAGTCTTAAACAATAAAGACATGCTCCATTACCATCTCAAAAATTGGTCTGACAAGTAATTCCATTAATTCATTTGTCTGGGAGGACATTTAAATCTTTGATTGTGGATATAATAAAGAATAATTGCTCCTTAATCATAAATAATTGGCACCCAAGGACTTGTATGATTTTGTTCTTGTTACAATAAGCAATGATTTCAATAGGAACAGGTCATCCTTCATTTTAGAATGTTGCGGCATTAATTTGATTACACTTTCATCAAATAACTTAAACATGAAAGGACAACTAGCAACCTTAATCTATTTCAAACATTTTAATGTAAAACTCAATAAAGAAAGCTTTTATTTTGACTTTAAATGTGAAATTAATGTTTTCTTTCTACCATTTTGATAATTGAAAAGGTTATCTCCCCTTTACAGCTCTTCTATAAAAGCATGAAAAGCAAACCTTGATGGTTACAAGGAAGTAATTATTTACATAGGCGACAATGGTAGCCTTTTTTGGTCCAGCGTTTTCACTATCAAAGATCCATAGAAAAAAATGTCGAATTCTGAATTATCAACACCTTTGGGTGTAATTGAAACTGCAAAACACATATGGTGCCGCAGCTTTTTTGATAGAAAAATTGCATTTTTTAAGGGTACTCAACGGTTCCGGAATTTTCGAAATAGTATAAACGAAGAACACCCCTTGCTAAATTTGGCACAGAAAATGTTGCTCGTCACAGAGAGTTTTCTCTAAATTTCTCGCTATTTCTACACCAATGGCCAACACTCATTTCTCACTATTTCAATTTTGATTTCTAATTACAAGGGCAGCAGAAAATAAATTTACTTCTACCTATTATCTTGGATGTAAAATCTAGGTGGCGCCAGTCATCTTTATTTACTTCCTTTTAACCTATACTGACATATATTGAAATAAAATCGGACAATCTTTACATTAGTCGATTACTATATACTCCTGCTGCTAAAGTTCAAATTTTTGGATTAAAGGCTCAATTTTTCACCTTTAAAAATGACTTTCTTTACAGGTACCCCCCTTTGCAGAAAACGTTGCTTTTTACAGACTTGGGGCCATTGACCAGCTTATTTTGACTGTTTGGCTATGTTTAAAACGAGGTGTTTGATTAATGAAGTTCGATTTAGGCCTATTAAAGACTTTAGGCTGATGATTTGATAACTGTGTCCAACTTATATGTCTTTATCACGAATATATGAACACCGTTGCATAAGAGTCAAAATATTTTATGAAATAGACTATAAAAGTGCTGAAACTAAGAATTTATCATTGTTGTTATGTGTTTTATATAAATCGTGTGCAGAATATTCAACTCGACGTTAGTAAGGAGAAACATGTATTGCCTTTGCTTTTTTACCTAATTTTAATATTTTAGGGGCATTTTGGCCATTAAAAATACAAAAATTTCGCTAACGTCAGCAAAAATAAGCCCCCTTTTTTTAAATATGCATAAATACATGCAGTGTTATCGAGGATGAGGAGAAATGATTAATGACAGAGTCATTGACAGAAGTCTTGTTCTTACAGTAGGTTAATGAACCCTACCCCTTAGGCAGAATAAAAAAACAGTAAAAATTTGATATAGACTATAGTTTCTTGGCGACCAGCAATTTTCTTCTGATACAGTTTATCACCTAGTACCTTATTAATTTACCGATCCAATTTCTAAAATATCTCGAAAAATACAGTGATGCGCCAGAAATCGTTATTTCGCTTTAGGTTACAAGGAAGTAATTATTTACATAGGCGACAATGGTAGCCTTTTTTGGTCCAGCGTTTTCACTATCAAAGATCCATAGAAAAAAATGTCGAATTCTGAATTATCAACACCTTTGGGTGTAATTGAAACTGCAAAACACATATGGTGCCGCAGCTTTTTTGATAGAAAAATTGCATTTTTTAAGGGTACTCAACGGTTCCGGAATTTTCGAAATAGTATAAACGAAGAACACCCCTTGCTAAATTTGGCACAGAAAATGTTGCTCGTCACAGAGAGTTTTCTCTAAATTTCTCGCTATTTCTACACCAATGGCCAACACTCATTTCTCACTATTTCAATTTTGATTTCTAATTACAAGGGCAGCAGAAAATAAATTTTCTTCTACCTATTATCTTGGATGTAAAATCTAGGTGGCGCCAGTCATCTTTATTTACTTCCTTTTAACCTGATCAACTTGCTTGCTATGTTTGCTTGGAAGTTTGCAAACAATAGGTAGGCGGAGTTTCAGTCTGTTTTATATATACTGGGATTTGATTGGAAAATAAAAATTGACATGCAATGAAGTTAATTTTATTGTCCAATCAAATTCCATTATATAGTAAACAGACTGAAACAGACTACTTACCTTTTGTTTACAAATATCCAAACATAGCAAGCAAGTTGATCAAAGGTTTGCTTTGCATGCTTTTATAGAAGAGCTGTAAAGAAAATGAATTTTGGAGGAATTGCACTTGCAAGGACAGACAAATGGACAGGATTCCTCTGTATAAAACAAACTTTGTTTATGTTTTAGAATTTTTCATTGTATTTTAAATTTGTATTACAGTGACAGGTTAAATATGTACATGTATTTCATTCTACCAAACAAAAGTAGTGAGTCCTTACAAGATTTGAAGATTAACCTGTCAAGCCAACAGACATGGACTTACCTGCACAATGTGGTTTTGGACTTTTCACAGGACTCTGAACTTTGAAGAAACCAAAATCAAATGTTTTGTCTTCAGCAGCAATGGATTTATTTTTCATTTGGGCTCTAAATGCAGAAAATTTTGACTTCACAGGTTTCTTAACAACTGCTTTTGGAGCCACCTTCTTCTGCAAGGGTAATGCAATAAAAATAAATGCATTGCAGCATGTCAAAATTATATTGAAACATGTTATACAATAGACTAGCTATGAGTGTAAATGTCAAATAAACACAAGTAAAATGATATGAAAGAATCATAAAATAGAAGACCAACAAGGGAAAGTTGCTTGCTAAAGATCTACATATAGGTCAACTACCTTTCCACAGATTTGTGCGTTTCATTTCAGAAGATTTTTCTCATACTCAAGATAGATTACACATTTAATTCTGTTCAAAGTACATGTAGCTGGTTTTAGGATTAGATAAGTGCAAGTTGATGTACCTCATTGTGTATTGTATAATTCAATTAAATAAAATCTTGACATACATGTAGCTATCTATTTATTTTTTACAATATTAGGGCTGTTCCAAAATTTATTGGGTTTGGGGAGGGACACTCTCAAATCAATTAAATATGGGGGTTTGCATTTTCCTAATAAAATTTTGTAAGAATTATAAAATGAAAAAGTTTATTTTATAGGTGGTCAGGGTCTTAAAACAGTGCCTTCCATCTCCAACATGTATTTAATTTTGGATCAGCCATAAGCTGAAAACTGTTAATGATATTTTCTGTGAATATAACTGTGCAACTCTTGGTTTTTTAATGAGTCAAAGTTCCACATTGTATACCTAACTTTTGGTTGTTCCCTTATCATGAATGTAGGAGGTAGGTTTTATTCTTAGACATAGGTAATGGGTCATTTATGATAGTGTGTCCATTTGAGCTTTTGGAAATATCTTCTTACCATGCCACATTCATTTAAATGGATTAGCCTAAATTCAATTTAACCAGCATGATGACAAAATTTGTTAGTCATAACAATAGCAAACAAGGTTTAAATTATTGCAAAAATTGCAACAGGATGTGTTTCACAAAAATAAGAAGTCACATTGTAAATTTCAGTAGTTTTACATGTATTTGTGTGCAGCATTTCCTGAGTAATTAATCTCAAATTTTTTCTATTGTTCAAGTAAGAAATGTACATGTACCAACACATACACCCTAATAATGTTTTTTTTATATTGTATACTTAATATTTTCCAGTTGATAGCTTGTAATCTATATACCTTTATAATTTGTTTCTTTGGTTGTATACTTGATAGATCCCAGTTGTTAGCTTTTAATTTATCCAAATCAATAAACTTCTGATTCACATCTTCAACCTAAAACATAACAAGTTTCAAAATCTTAGGTATTCAGTGGTAGCTTTGTATCATTGTGTTAGTAAGTTTACTATTATGTTTCTATTTCTTTTTAAGCTGTCCTATTTTTTCATGCAAACAGATGGCTTAATTTCTTTGTATCAAACAGTCCTTCAAACTGCAATAAACAGCTGCCCACTAGTATAAGATATGCCTGTTTGTATTTGCATAGTTAAACTGTAGCAAGAAAATTGACATATCAGGAAAGGCCTGATTGCACATTTTTGTGTGAGGCATAGAGACTGAAGCATACAAAGCAATTGATGTTCATGGGTTGTCAATTTTCATAAATTTTAAAACCAGGAATTAATTCAAGATGTGTTCTCGATAAATATTACGTTTTGTTAAAATCCACACACTATATATCTTGGTGGCAGGGGCGGATCCAGCCATTTTCAAAAAGGGGGGTTCCCAACCAAGGATAAAGGGGGGGGGGTTCCAACCATATGTCCCCATTCAAATGCATTGATCGTCCTAAAAAAAGGGGGGATTCCAACCCCCAGAACCCTCCCCTGGATCCGCCACTGGGTGGGCAACCAATAATTCTTTAAGCTGGGAATCATGTCAGAATAGAAAATTATACCTAAAAAGATTTTCATTTAAATTCTACCAGAAACAGATGTTTCTCAAAATTTATTATTTTTTAACAAAAATTAAAATTTCACCATAATTTTGACATCAAGTAAAAATTTCTAATGCATATTATACCTATAGATCAAATAATTGTTAAAATCCTTACACAAAAAAAATCTTTCTTTAATTTTGTTTTATCTCTCTCTCACACACAAAAACACACTTTTTAACCCCATATTTGACCAGAAACAATTAGGAATAGAATATTTCTCAAAATTTTTGATTTTTTTTTAACAGAAAAATATTTTATACCATTATTTTTTTAACCTTCAATCACTTTGAAAAAGCTTTACAGCTATATATCAATTTTGTTAAAAAAATAAAGCATAAAGTTTGAAATAAATTGATTAAAGCATACTCAAGTTAGTGTGCAACATGTTGAAAATTGCCTTGAAACTAATTGTTAAAGTCATACATTGTAAATGACAAAATAAAAAAAAAAATTAAATCAAAAGGAGCCTTCAATTGTTTCATTTATTCCATACAATTATATATTTTATCAAAGCATTCTGAAGCTTTTGTACAATGTGTGGATCATGAATATAGGAAAATGGTATACCATAATACATCCAGTCTATGATAGGTGTATGAAAACTTCTTGTTCCTGTTTTAGTAGTAGGTACTTGCCTGAAAATAGATCATTTCCCAGAAACCTTGTAGATCTGTACAAGTTGTTTCCTTCTCTCCTTGTTTAAATTCACAGTTGTCAACTAGACCTCTAAACTGCTTAAACCTTTGAGCTATGAGTAACTGTGCTTGTCCTACTACTGTTCTCAACTGTCCTTCAACTGAAAAAAATAAACCGAATTCTTCAAATACAACAAAAATTAGAAAAACTGAACAGACATGGAATCATACATCCCATTAGAAAGCGTGTCTAATAAAAATATTTATTTATATAGCTAATAGCAGGCCCAAAAGACAATCTGTTTGAATAATAAACCTATTTATTTGCATTTTCTAATTTAATTCTGTCAGACATTTGGTTTGATACATTTTGCAAGCCTATCTGCCGGAACCAAAATTTGCCAGAAATATCAGACGTCCAAAGATTTTAAATTCACATCTTAAAATCCCTTATATGGTACAACTCAACACATTAAATCTCCAGACTATATATCAAATCATTCCGTAATATGGAAGCTGAGTAACGTGTATCAAAAGTTAACGGGGGACATTTGGTCTGCTATTCCATTAAGAGTATACAAGAATATGTGTACTTATGACACTATGCTCCACTCGCACTATCACATTTCCATGTTTACTAAACCATGAAAACTAGGTCAGTACCCATATTTGACAAACAGTTTCAAAAGTTCACATCATAATAATCATGTCTACAAGTTTCAATTTGATGTGACTACAGCATAAGTGAACTACCGTAAACCAAAACTTTTTGGTGAACTGTGAAATCTGAGGCAAAACTGTAACTTGGCATACATTTTTGTCGAGCCTTCGACTTTAGTCGAAAAAGCGAGACATAGCGATCCTACATTCCGTCGGCGTCGTCGTCCACAAATATTCACTCTGTGGTTAAAGTTTTTGAAATTTTAATAACTTTCTTAAACTATCCTGGATTTCTACCAAACTTGGACAGAAGCTTGTTTATGATCATAAGATAGTATCCAGAAGTAAATTTTGTAAAAATAAAATTCCATTTTTTCCGTATTTTACTTATAAATGGACTTAGATTTTCTGCCAGGAAACAACACATTCACTCTGTGGTTAAAGTTTTTAAAATTTTAATAACTTTCTTAAACTATCCTGGGTTTGTACCAAACTTGGACAGAAGCTTGTTTATGATCATAAGATAGTATCTAGAAGTAAATTTATAAAAAAGTAAATCCATTTTTTCCTTATTTTACTTTTAAACGGACTTAGATTTTCTGCCAGGAAACAACACATTCACTCTGTGGTTAAAGTTTTTAAAATTTTAATAACTTTCTTATACTATTTTGGATTTGTACCAAACTTGGACAGAAGCTTGTTTATGATCAAAAGCTAGTATCTAGAAGGAAATTTTGTAAAAAAATAAATCCATTTTTTTCTTATTTTACTTTTAAATGGACTTAGATTTTCTGCCAGGAAACAACACATTCACTCTGTGGTTAAAGTTTTTAAAATTTTAATAACTTTCTTATACTATTTTGGATTTGTACCAAACTTGGACAGAAGCTTGTTTATGATCAAATGCTAGTATCTAGAAGGAAATTTTGTTTTCTTCCAGTTAACATTACATTCAGTCTGCAGTTAGAGTTTTTAAACATTTATTAGATTCATAAACTATCCTGGAATTTTACCAAACTTGGACAGAAGCTTCTTACAATCAAAAGATAGTATCAAGAGGAATATTTTTATTGATTTACTTCCTCATTTTTGTTGAGCCTGCGATTAACAGAAAAAGTAGGCGAGACACTGGGTTCTGCGGAACCCTTACGAATTTTTAATAGTTCACATCATAACAAAAATGTGAACTAAATTTTAAGTTCATGTGTTCACAAAACCTGTAGTTCTATCACAGGAAGAGCATAACAATATTTTACCATCTTCAGACAAGTTAGATGTATTAATATCATCCCATTTCTGACATAACTGGTTTAGTCTTTCAGTTTGTGACTTGAGTAACTGTCTGAAGTAAGCAACATCATGTTCTTCTGTATTTCCTTCTTCCATCTTGTCAGATTCCTGTGTTGTTGACACTTCATCAACCTGCAGCTCTACAAACATTATTTTTGTATATCTTAGTTATAAAGCAATCTCTGCACTCTAATAAACATCCATAAATTGACACTTCTACAGAAGATGTGACATATGTTTTGGTTCTTCATGGTTAAAAAAGCCTCTTTAAAGGGTTATTGTTATCTTCATTTTTTTTTAAATTCAGTTCATGACTTTAGAAATGATTACTCTTTCAATGCTTGTAACTGTTATACAATATTTCAGTAACTTTCACCATTAAAAAAATGTTGGTTTTTTGTTTTGAGTGAGTGTAAAAATGGAACTTGTTTTTATCTGTCTGATAAGAACTCAACAGTTGCTGATCTTCATGTAAATAAAAACTCAACAATCCTCATTCTAATTAACTTTAAATGATGAATTGATTAAACAGTTGTCAACTGTTAAGTGTAATAAAAACATTTTCTATTTTTTCTCTATAAAACTTTTCTTATTGTGCCTTACCTTGTGCATCATAATTTTGTGGACTGGTCTTTAGTTGTTCTATTTGGTCAACATCATTAGTTTCCATTTCCACAACTTGATCATCTTGAATGGTGGGTTTATTTTCATTATCCTCACAGTGTGAGAAATTTAAAACCTTATTAGGGTTATTTTCTTCTAATTCGTCCAAATCTAGATCGAAATCCAAAGCAGGAGGAGGTGCTGCAAATATATACAGTAATTGTAAAAAGACGTAAACAACAAATGATTGAATGGCTCACCTACGACCCTAGCTATAAGGAATATTTAGACAAAACATATCAAGACAAAGTTTCATTTGTTTATAGCTACACATATCTATTTTAGGAAAGAAATTGCAAAAAATAGGTAGCAACTACTATGAGGAGTGGATTAATAACTTTGGTCATGTTTGATCTTTATACATCTTGCTGGTCGTCTTTACTGTTTAAATTTCTCTTTGCCTATTATACTTTTCAAGATGATATCTAATAAACTGCTGACACATCTGTATGTCTCGCCTATAATACATTCTTAGTAAGTTTTGATATTATAACGCAACAGTAGAAATTTAAAAGGATAAACATATAAACTATGCAAAAAGTTTCAAATTCAATAGATTATGAGTCCATGGTATTTTCATTTAGTTCTAGGAGCAAGGCTCAAATATATATCTTTTCTATTTTTGACTTACGAGTTTTAACTTTAGGTGTCCTCCTGTTCATTTCTACCATAGGACTGTCTTGGAGGAGTTTAATCCTACAAAATTAATAATTAAATTCTTTTGATTGCTGGTATTTACTTTTCTCTTCCTCAGATTTACATATGGGTTTCATGCATCTTAACGAAAAGAATTGATTAACACTTTTAAGAGTTTTTGTTTGTTATCCAGATGATTCTAAAACTTTTCCCCTAGTTATTCTGAACTTGAAATACAGCCAACCGTTAATGTGACATACATGTTGACACCAACACGTCCAAACATTTCAAAACATATCAATAAAACAGGTTCATTGACTTGAATTGTTTTATGTAACAATGTACATTGCTAACAATGTACATTGCTAGCAATGCAGGATGTCTTTTTGGTTATTAGTGTTGTAGGTTTGTGGTTTCATTGATGTAAACCCCCAGATCTCCTTTTAATCTTAAGTCATATTTTAGATCATTGATCTTAATTGCAACTTCGATGAAATTCAGAAATTCTTTGCAATGTTTTCATCAGTGCAAAAATTGTGAAGGCACAGATTTACAAAAATAAAAACTTGCATTCTAAATTTTCCAAGCATACATGTATGCAGTATTTCCTGAAATCTTATTAATCAATTTCCCATTTTTGTCCATTGTTGGTCAAGTGCAATAAAATTTCAGAAAACTGTACTGTAAATTCAGAAATTATTGCGATGTTTTTATCTTTGTGAAAAATTGCGACCGCATAGGATTCACAAAAATAAAAACTTGCATTTTACATTTTGATAGCTTTATTCATATGCAGCATTTCGTGAAATTGCAATAACTAATCTCACATTTTTGTCAATTGTACAAAAGTGGCAATAATAAGTGCACACAATATTTTCTGAATTTACATTACTTAGTCTACAACAATAAACAGTGTACAAACCATTCTTCAGGGCTTTTGACAATTGTGTGATCATATACAGTCTTTCTCCTCTTCTTTTTGTTAGCAGTTCTCTTAGCTGACAAGACAATTGAATCTGCACTTGGTTTAGCAAATTCTACTGAACTGAAAGACCTTCTTTTTGTGCTACGTGTTATTCTCTTTGAAGGATGTAAATTTTCATCATTTACTTCTGTTTCTTCTGTCTGATTTTGCTGACTTGGTTCTGAAGGTATAACTGAACCTTCATCATCTGTTACAGTTTTTGAATGTAAAGATCTTCTTACACTTTTCCTCCTGCTCATTGTTGTTTTATTTACAACTAATTCCACATTGTCTTTGTGATCTTTTGATTCTTCAATACTACTAGCTTTCTCATCTTTTTCATTTGTTTCAAATACGTCATCCAAAAATTCCATTTTTCCAGACTCTTTGGTTGGTTCAGCTATAATTATACTCTGAGACAAAGATTTACGTGAGATTCTCATGGATCGTCTTTTTGGTGTAGATTTGTTCTCTTCAGATACAGTTTCTTGTAAATTCATTACAGGTTTGTTTATTGGTTCCTCAGCTGCCTCTGTTTCCATGACTGATTGTTTAGGGCTTGTATCTTTTTTTTCTGTATTAACAGGTTTAACAGTTGATTGAGTATCAACAGATTTAGGAGTATCAACAGATTTACCAGATTTAGGTGTTTCTCCTTGATTACTTTTAGGTGTTTCAACATGGGCAGATTTTGATCTTTTTGAAGCTCTTTCTTCATGAATATGATCATTATCTACTCTTGATCTTTTGACACTTGAACTCCTGGGTGTATTTGTTACTGCTGATCTTGTTCTTGGATTGCTGAGAGATCTATCTTTGCTTCCATGAGACAATCTACGATTTGAAGATCTGTCAAGTGTTCTCTTTCCTTGAGACAGTGGTCTACTGGATCTATCCTGTGATCTTTCTGTAGATCTTGTTCCACATCTACTTGATGCATTTAATGATTCAGTGCATTCTGCTTTTTTCTGTGAACGAGTTCTCCTCCTTACAGGCGATTTTTGTCTCCCTGGTTTTGATTTATCCTGCTCAGCAGAGATATCACCATTCTGCACAGTTACATTACTTATGGTCTCATCTGTATCACCTAGTATTCAAATATTTTGAAATATAAAATTCTAGTAATTTAATTGAAATTTGTAAATTGTGAAAACTCTTTATCATAAATTTTCAACCAATAAAATCAAAATCATTTTCTTAATAGTTTAACAAAGAATAACTTCCCAAAATGTAACTTCTTTATTAAGATTTCAATTTTTATCTTCTGTCTTAACCATAGTAACAATTGATAGACTAATTAATTGCATTATCACATGAAATTTGATAAAAGACGAGTAAAAACCTTTAAATGTCTGCTCATTCTGTGTTTCCTCATTAAAATCATTCTGCATCTCCTCTTTAACATTGTCAGAACTTTTTGGAGTGGAACATCTGCAAATTAACATAAAAATACATTCATCAATTTTGAACTGAAATTTGGAGTCAAGCAAGCCACTAAGAACCAAAAGCCACAAAGCTAAGTGGTTTAGTTGAATGGTTGATTCTATATGTTGTACCTGTATCAAGTCAGGCTATCTAGACCATGTATTAATTGTTGTGTGTCTGTTTGATTTTCTATGAGGAGTCAGGTGTTGTTGGTTAATGTGTGTTGTCGTAATGTCAAATATTTTTGGTAATTTCTTATATCCTTTTTATGTATTATTTCCATCGAAATGAAATAAAACGAAGAGGTTTGTAGAGCCTTCAATTGCATACAAAATCTTTCTAGGTTTGTTTATTAGGTAAATAGTCTAAGAGAAGATGAAAAAGTGATTTCCCAAATGATTTCAATGGCAACTATGCATCCACCACTGCCATAGTTTGTCACCCTTTCAACATTAAATAAGCATCTTAAACAACCCTGGTGTTAACCTATATATCAATCATAATGCACTATAATGTCAAATGGTTTCTGAGGAATGGACCCAAATGCAGCAATTAAGACATAAAACAATACAGGCATAGATACAGGACATAACTTTGACAGCATGTCTCAGTTAACAATATCTATACAGCTACTCCTCAAAAGAATGTCTAAAAAATGTTAAAACAAGAATGTGTCCATAGTACAAGGATACACCACTCGCACTATCATTTTCTATGTTCAGTGGACCGTGAAATTGGGGTAAAAACTCTAATTTGGCATTAAAATGAAAAAGACCATATCATAGGGAACATGTGTACTAAGTTTCAAGTCCATCTCGCACAGACCGAAAAACATGCCCCTAAGAGGGGCATAAAAATAAATGTTTTGCAAATTTCACATTTGTATGTGTGTATCAACACATCTGATAACGACATTCTCATTTTGAATCTTAACAAACCTTTTAGGATGAGTTCCTATAAAGGATGCTCCTGCATCTTGACCAGGATTAAGAAAATTTGCAGCAGCACTGGGGCTCAAGGGTTTGAACACAAACGATGACAGATTAGATGGAGCAGTAAAGGTAAATTCTTCAGGTGCAAATGATTGTCCTCTCAATGTAGATACTTTATGTAGATCAACATGGAGATTTGGTTTCTCTTTAGTGGTCTTGCTCTGGGCTGATCTATTCTGGCTTCTGGTTGTTGGCATAGAAACTGAAATACATAATCAATGTTATCATTTTAGGATCTTTCAAAAATGTCCAATAGGAGCATTCCCGAAATACAATTGTTTGTTGAAAAATCCCTTCTTACAGAACTTTTGTATGTCATCAATGTAACAGAATCTGTGTTTTACCTTTGTTTAATTGTCCTCTGTTGCTAGTCTTTGTAATCTGTGAAGGCTTTGTAGGAACTGGTTTTGAAATCTTGGCAATCTAAAGTTCAATAAATATCAATGTTATATAATGTATTAAGACAATAAAAATCTGACAAAGAAAAGTTGTCACAAAACACTAGTTTTGAGGTTTTATGAAATGTTTGAAGGACACTTCTGTAACATTTCTGCTTTGAACTATGGTTAGAGAGATTGCTGACAGTGCCTTACATATCCATTCACTGTTCGTCCCTCAAATTTCAAAAGGCATCCTGGTACAAAGGTTTGAAAGGATTTTTAAATTCATTTGAGGCATTGTATTACTCTTAATTATAGAATTATAGTATATGTAAAAGCTACAATGTAGAAACCATTTCTGATAGGAATAATTAAAATATTGTCTTCAATGATGGATAGTTGTCTCATTGGCACTCATACCACATCTTCTTATTTATATCTTCAATGAGTTTGTATTACTCTGACTCACCAGCTTCATGTATTATTGCGTTAGTACTGTGTGATACTTATCTTTGAAATAATTTCACAGAAAAAGTTTCTTATATACAAATCTAATATATCCAATGAAATTGTGTTCACCCTTATCAGTCACAGTCAGTCAGGGGTACTACTTGTACAAGTAATTTTTATTTACTTGAAGAAGTAAATAAAATATACCTATACAAGTAAATAATATTGTTTGAATAATCTCCCCTTAATTTTCTAAAAAATTTACTTGTATAAGTAAATTTTTTTTACAATCCCACAAAAATTTTCAGTTTTGAGATGTAAAATCATGCCTTTAACAATTTTTCTCAGGTTAGCTCATAATTTTTGATAAGAGTTCAATGTTTCATCTCATTAATTCAACAAAGAAACTGATTGAGCAAAGATCTTAAGTATTTGCGCAAGGCCTTCAAAAATTGCTCCTTGGGGGCTTGTAAATGAGCAGTGTTCAAAACATAACAGACAAATGAGATTTTCATTGTCCATGAAATTACACTTAAATGAATAGTAAAGACATCTGCAAAGGACAGACAATTCAAAATTCTGTTATAGCAAAGAAGATCTAAGAATTCAAGAAAAGAAGATAGGATGACTTTTTTACTTGCATAAGTAAAAAAATCTGAATGTCTAAGGGACATAACTAGGCCAAAAAATAATTTACTTATACAAGTAAATAAAATACACTTGTATAAGTATCCTACAAATTTACTTATATAAGTATATTATAATTACTTCTTCAAGTAAATAAAAATTACTTGTACAAGTAGTACCCCTGACTGACAGTGGATTCCTAAACATGGCAACATTGGGGCTAAATATGGCCACTTACCAAACTAATTCCTTTATACCAATAAAATTATTTGATTTGATTATTTTGATTTTTAAAGAACAAAATTTTCTTTTCAACTAGAAATAACCTTTACTTCAAATTGTCTTAATAATCTCTGCTTAGGATAATAAAAAGAATTTCTTCTAATTCAAAATGAGTTTACCACTGATGGCTTAACTGTAGCTTTTGTTCTGACCACTGGCTTGGCAGGACCTTTACTTTGACTCATATTTGTTTGCGGTGGCTGGATTGATTTCTCTATCTTTGCCTGAAATTTGAAATATGACTTTAACAATAGAAGCTGTGTCATTCCAAAACAAACATTGTACCCAGTGAAGACATTTTTTAAAATGTGGGTCACCATCTATAGACAATTTTAGAATTTCTCTTACACTGTCACTTTAATAAAATGCCAACAAATAGACAGAGATTTTGAAGTGCCTTAAATGGGTTAAGGAACAGCCCTTAGTGGGTGATAAAATTTCAGCAAAAATCATCTGCTTTTGATGTTGGGTCAGTACTTTAAACTATAGCTTTATACCTATTTTCTTCATTTAAAATGTTTTTTAATGGCCAATTTCCTACTTAACATAAAAGTATGACTAAAAATGTCAATATAAGTTTCCTTGACAAGTGATAAAAGTAATTAAATAAAACAATACCTGTTTACGTATCTTATTAAGTTCTTTATAATCTACATGTGTGACTTTGAATGGTTTGTTCTTTGCCTTTTCTTGTGCAGCCAACTTCTTTTTGAGTTCCTTTTCAGCTTTCCATTTTGCAAGCTTGTCTTTAATCAACTTTTGCTGATTCTCTTTTACATTGTCTGTAAAGTTAACAAAGTTTGAAGTGCTATAAACAGTTAAAAGAGATTTTTGTCTGGACTTTTAAAATAATTGAGTTTATCTTTTCATACATGTAAAAATGTATACAGTAAGGACACTTTCAAAAAGCTAGCATCCATTTCTGTCATGTTCAAAATAATTTGCCATCCTTTTTTCAGATTAACAATACACCTTCTTGCTACATTTGTATTTGTCCACCATGACTGGCATGAGGCCAGGGTTTTTTAATTTGTTGGTTTACGAATTTTTATGTGAAAAAGTTGGGTCAGACAGTCAGGAAATAATTGAAAATTTACAAGAAATAAATATGTATATGAAAAAAAAATATATTAAGTTCTTTATAATCTACATGTGTGACTTTGAATGGTTTATAATATAATATAATCAACTTACTTACAATATTTTTGGTATGCTTTTTGTTATTTCTTAATTCAAAATATTATTGCTCAGCTGTTTTAAACATACAATGCATGCAATCCTCATATAAGTTTGTAAAAAGGGGGTATGTCAACAAAAACAGGAAAATAAAATGGTCCTTTTACTATTAAACAAAAAACCAGCTACATGTTGCTTTTCATAAAGTTTCAGGAGACATGAGAAATGAGCTTCAAGCACCAAAACATGTGAAATAAAAATTGCAAACATGTTGCACAAAAGTCTGTGTCATAAACGAAGTAGACCAGCGTCCACTGCATTTTATTTCAGGAAAATTTCTTTCCTACAAGTACAACACTCAACAGCAAACATTATAACCCTTGTCTGAGGGACAGTCCCTCATTTAGAGGATATCCTTTATTTGGGGAAGGGGGTTGTTCCCAACCTGTTGGTAGTAAGGCACCTTGCAAATGCAAGTCAAGATTATACTCATGTAAGTGTATAAATTATACCCCTCTCCTTTTTTTACGACCCTCGATTTGCAGTCATGAAATAAGTAATTTGCAGTCATGAAATAAGTAAACAAACCTTTTACTTGACTTTTTGTCACTTTGCAAGATTCTACATTAGTTTTTGATGGAGTTTTGCCTTCGTAATTCTGATTAACAGTTGCATTGTGACTGATTTCTTGGAGAGGGGATAGAGACTCTAAATTTCGGGCACTGTTCAATCTTTCATCGCGGTTACTTTTCCATTCTACTGAACGCCGATGTAGTCGTAATGCTCTTTTGTCAATTGTAGATGACTTCTTCTTGTAGGCAAACTCATATGCAGAATTCTTCTCCATTTTTACTGACAGCGAACAAGTAAAGACGTCCACTGCAGCAATTCAAGTTGGCGGAATATTTTGAATTTAGTGCATTTTGATTGGTCGATATTTAAAGGGAGTTAATCAACGCTGGGTACTTTTAAAAGACTGATAACATTTCCGTAGTCGATGATGGGTTACACTAAAGACCTGAACTTGGACCTGAAAAGATCTGAATAGACCTGAAGATATACTACTCGATTTATTCAAATTACGATTACTTTTTTATTTTCCAAAGGATTTTCTTCAAGTTAGAATTTTATTAAATGTAAAGATCCATATTTTATCAAAAATAAAATGTTTAAAATAAAAAACAATTTTTTGATGCCAAAACTTGGACCTGAACGGAGATATGAAAAGACCTGAACGGACCTGAAATTCTACGATCATACTTATTCAAACTTCAATTTCTGTTTTATTTTTCAATGGATTTTCTTCAACTTTAGATTTTGTGAAACGAAAAATCTATATATTAATAATATTTAAAAAGAAATTATGAAAAATATTGTTGGAGTGTCAAAACTCTGACCTGAACGGGAAATTAAATTACCTGAATTGACCAGAAAATCTCCTGTCAGATTTTTTTCAAGTTCTATAACTGTTTTAGTTTGTAATCAATCTTCTTGAAATTTGAATTTTGTTATAAAAAAGGTATAATATTTCATTGAAATGATGAAGAATATTATAAACTAGGTACTAGGAAAAATAAAAGAAAGGACCATAACAAATAAAAAAAATACAAGAAAATATTAACAACAATAAAAAGAAAAACAAATATATGCAGAGAAGGAATTTATAAAGACAATATATATATATATATATAGACAATATTTATTAGCACATACACATTTACAATAAATGGTTAATAAAGCATGATTAAGAACAGACAATTGTACAGTAAAAACAAAAGAGAGTAACAGTGGCTTTCATATGAAAATTTAAATAATATCTATATATTAGTAAATGACTGCAAATATTAGCGTATTCTTAGATAATCATTGATTATCATGTACAAAAATAATAACAAACTAAAAATTTAGACATTTTCTTAATGAGAGACAATCATTTATGTATTATGCAGTGATTTTGATAATGAATGGCGTGCTGCTGCCTAATAGTGTGGACATGATTCAGTGATATAACAGTTTAAATGTGTGTTTATTTTTTAATGTAAGTACTTCTTAGTAAGGCATAGCATGCCATGGACAGTCTGAAAAGAAATTGTATTCATCTTTATTTGTCCTCGGTCACCAGAGAGGCATCCGCGTTGTTTTCTTTCGATGTTACAATACCGCCCCTTTCAATAGCTAGAGAATGGGCACTGAGTCTAAATCTACTAAGGACCGATCTGTCAGATTTTGTTTTACAAATACCAAAATAATGGGGTCGGTTCCAACTTTTATGAATATTATGGAAAAAAAGCTTTTCACATTAATATTTTTAATTGAACAGTACAAGTTTTGTTGAGCCTAATCAATAATGATTTGTTGGACATTATTTCTATAAAACTGTATACGTGACATAATTAGGGTGAACGGAAGTAAAGAACTACACATGTGCCTTATCCGACTTCAAAGCTTAATCCTTTAAAGTGGACCGGATTCTTGTGATTTTTTTGCTATGCATGTACTGATTTTGTGTCATGGATGATCATGGATGGATACCCCATATCCTTTGTTTTTCTATCGGATTAAAACCTCTCGAAATTCTCTTCTTAATACTGCATTATATTTTTAATCCATTTACGTTCTTCTTGGCAAATTTACTGTTATAAATTAATTTTAAGTTCAGGTACACCAATATTTTCACTGGTTATTACAATATTCAATTTGCAGAAATAAAAAGGCTGCAGTCTATCTTTGCATGTCCCAAGTCAGTAGCCTGTAATTGAGTGGTTGTCGTTTTTTTTTTTGCTGTTTCTCATATTTGTACATGTTTTTTGTTTATTGTTTTTAATAATTTGTTCTTGTCTTGTGCCGTTACACCACTGTCCTCGGTAAGCGGGAAGGTTCGGGCGCCTTCAAACATGTTTAACCCCGCCACAATTCTATATATATGTGCCTGTCCCAAGTCAGGAGCCTGTAGTTCAGTGGTTGTCGTTGGTTCGTGTCTGTCATATTTGTTTTCTGTAAATTGTTTTGTTATAAATTAAGCAGTTAGTTTTTCAAATGAATTGTTTCATATTTTCATGTTGGGGCCTTTTATAGCCGACTATACGGTATGGGGTTTTCTCATTTTTTGAAGGCCGCGTACCCAGACAAAGATTCATAAGTCTGCATGAGGGGTAGATAAAAGAAGATGTGGTATGAGTGCCAATGAGACAACTCTCCATCCAAGTATATATTTTCCTTCATTTCAAACGACATTGAATACGTTTTTCAACATTTGTTTTGTGTCGACTGAAAATATAGTATAAAAAAAACTCAGTCTTCTAAACCTCAATATGTCAAACTACAATTATAACCAGTAGATATTAATGTGTATAAATGCGTGTTAATTTAAGTGGAGGCTTATGTTTTTCTATAAAGTGTCATTACTTCGGGCATGAGTGAAAATGAATTCTCCAACGATCTTACTATACTTGTTAATCGATCAGTCCATAAGTGAATGCTTTCCAGCACGTGTCAACTTATCCCACTTCTAAGGTGTTAATTCTTTAGACTTAGTCCATAAGTCCATAAGTCCATAAGTTAACGTCTTCAAGCAAGTGTCAAGTGATCTTACTATAAGGTATTAAATCTTAAGTCCATAAGTGAACACCTTCCAGCAAGTGTCAATTGACCTCATTATAAGACCTGTGTTAATTATTCAGTCAATAAGTCAATGTCTTCTAGAAAGTGTCAAGTGATTTTACTGTAAAGTATTAATTCTTTAGTCCGTAAGAGAACACCTTCAAGCAAGTGTCAAGTGATCTTACTGTAGGGTGTCATTCTTTAACTTATCAGTGAACACCTTCCAGCCAGTGTCAAGTTAAATGTCTTTAGACTCATGCGTGAATCAGGTGTTAATTCTTCAGCGCATAAGTGAACACCTTCCATCAATTTTTATGTTATCCTATTATAAGGTGCTAATTCTCTAGTGCATAACTGAACACCTTACAGCAACGGCCAATTGATCTTACAATACGGTGTTAGTTCTTTAGCGCATTAACAAACATCTTCCAGCAACTGTCAAGATGAAACCAAGAAGTAAAATCTCATCAAAGATACCAGTCTTATAATTTTGTAAGCCAGACGTACGTGACGTTACGCACGTTTTTGCGTCAATACCGTGTAATCAACAAGTCCACACTAATAAACAGCTTTTCTATAAAATCATAACAGTGAAGTTATATAAATTTTACATCCATAGACTAGACTAGTAAAAACTATTCCGAAAAAAACTACAAACTGTTTTATCATATTTTACAATAGTCTAAAATAAGGACAACATATTGACAAAACGTCCAAAATATGCGTGTCAGACGTAACAGACTATACGCATAATAACTTTAGCAGGGGTGTTTGTGTTCTTCAAACAGTGTTATATCCGCGAAAATTCGAATGAAAGATATGCTTTATATATATAAAGTATTACAATATTACTGAATATGCGTTCCTGTAACAACCAACGTTATTTTTTGGCAAAAACAAAAAAAGTGTCCATTATGGTCAGATTTAGGAAAATCTTAAGTTATCAAAATTTATAGGTTTCAAAACGTAAGACTTTATGAAATTTCGTTTGTGTAAATTATGCTCACAAAAGTACATATATAGACCATATCAAAATTGAATTTTTGCAGCACTCACACCACATATAAAAAGGCAACGGCTTCTGGCAAATGTCTTGCAAGATGTCCAATGTCGGATTTCGCCGCTTTTTACAAATAAACTGTCATTTGCGACGTTATTTATTGAAAATTTAGATTTGTTGTATGCTAAATATTGCTTTTCCGTAACTGTACTTTAACTCTACGAAACAGCTACATACTTTTTGATAATTTGCGTAGTCAAAACGACTTCGTTTTCAAAGAAATGAAATGTCTTGCAAGTTTGTCCACTGGACGATTTTCATACGTTTTGAACGTTGTAAATTCGAGACGATACTATCAAAAAGACCACAAAGTATAAACAAAAAATTCGATGGCTGGGGTTGTTCGTTTAGATGAGGTTCTTTAGTTGTGAAAAAATTGTGTATTACGGAAGGATAAAAAATAATCTTTTTCAAATTTTCAAATTTGGGGAGCGTAAAACTGTGATTTTTTTTTATTTCTCTGCAATAAGATTCATATGTATAGAACTTGAAAGTAAAAATAAAATTGGACCTGAAGCGTGGCTATATACCTCTCCATATCATACAAGGCTTGTAAACATATGAGATGAATAGAATCAACCTTTTTTCTGACAATCGTTTCATCTCTTAATCTAATTGTTCCGTTATTAAAGAAAGTACAGTGAATTTTATAAGCAAGACCCGTTTAACTTGTAATTCCCGACAAACATTTTTCAATTAAATCAAAATATATATCTTCTTCCTTTTCGGATCAAAATGGGGAAACATTGCATTTTATTACATTTCATATCAATTGGTCTCTGGTAAAGAGTTGTCTCATTGGCACTCATCATACCGTATATATCTTCTTTTTCATATAGATTTATGCATTACCCAAATACGATATATTTTGTTGTTTGTTGCTTACGTTACTTTCAGTGGGAAATATTTCATGCATATTCAGTACAACCAAACATTAAGAAGTATCAATATTGATGTGCAAAACAGAAATTGCAAGCGAAATAAAAAAAATATCCCCAATATAATCATGATAATCATTAATCGCCGTAAAACGTAAAAAAAACGACGTTACCATTTGAGACGCAATATCGTGCGTAACGTCACGTGCGTTTCGTCTGCATATGTCAGTAGCGCTCGAAGTAAAACAGTTTGGTTGACCCAATCAAAAACAAAGTCGCAAGGCGTAGCGCTTTAAAAACTGCAAATTCTGAAAAGTTGTACCAAATACGACTATGACATTCTATATCGGAAGAAAGAAGGGGAGGGGGAGGGGGGGGGGG